GCGCCCACAGACAGCCGCGGCGGCGGGCGTTTGATGTTCATCAAATTCACCTGTCAATGTCAATCTGGCGGTGAGCAACTAAATAGTATAGTACAGTATAGTACAAAGACTCGATTAGTTTGGGACCGATCGAGGGATCCGTCGACGGCAGCGGGTACAAGGTCAGTTATCAGTAAAGAGTAGGAAACCAAGCGAGCACTAATTCATTGTTAGTGACAGATAGAGTCAGGTCTAGGAAGTAGCTTACAGCAGAGGATATGGGATATGGAAACGGGTGTTGGGTTGGCCATGATCCTGGCTACAGTACAGTATAACTCGACCCCTGAGCTGACGCCGCAATTGTATTCGTCGATTCTCTGGATGTAGAGCCAAGACCTAGTCCCTTTGGCTTGCTTGCAGGTGGATCGGGGGCGTAGCTTTCGCAAACATCGAGTATTGGTTCATTCTGACACTCTTCCTCTATTCCTGACGTCGCATCTGATGGGACTAGACAAAGTTATCCCGCGGCAGTTTTAGAGAGGAAGAGGCAACGAGAACGAGTCTAGGCCAGGTCCAGGTTCGATCCTGTGTGGCATCCTTTTTGGAAGATTCGCTGGCAATAACATGTCAGTATCAACACCGATGAGACTTGGACCGAGACTGAGACTGGACTGAGGATGCCTTATCCATGTGTGACACAACAACGTGCGGCCCCATTGCCCTAACGAAGCAGAGACAGTGAGGGTCAAGGGTCTGCGCACGGTCCTTTCCCTTCCCGATGTACTGTACGGATACATACAGGTGGCAGGTGCGGTGCCTGCCATTGACGATTTCTGATTCTGGTCCTGCCTGATCTGAATCCAACTCAACCTGGGGCGATTTCGAGTCTCGAACATTACTAATTCTCCATCAAAACGCAAGGGACGAATAGCTACGGTGAATGAGGAATTGCATTGCTGTGATGGGCTTTTTTGAAACAGACTAAAAGGTGGGTTCGTGGATCACGGTAACTTCCTCTCGGTGATAATCAACCCTTCTCTCTGTCTCTTGTCTCTCTAACTCTAATCGTTTTCACTGAAGGCATGCATGGATGTAGGTAGGTACCACCAAACTATCAGTTACACAGACGAATACCGGTACTGTGCTGCGCTGCACTTCGCTGCAAGTTCCACCCAGAGGTGGCAAATAAATTGTTCTGGACGGAATGAAGAACACTTGATGAGGCTGAACGAGGTCGATCCGTCACCGCCTGGTTTCCACAAAGAAAGTTCCGTAGAAGCGACAATCGTCAAGCAAGAAAGGGTCCTTGCAGTGGCTATCTGACACCGATAGGCAGAAGAACAGCCTAGGGCTTGGCCACGAACACGGCTTGAGCTAGGTGAAACGCACGTTGATCCTGCACTGCAATTGGCTCTGGCGAATGCGGATTTTCTTGTCACTCTCATGATAGGACGCCTGAGCTTGAGATTATTAGCTGTTCGCTCTCAATTATTATTACTCAATCTTTCTCTGTTCCTGGAGAAAAGCACCTCATCAGCACCTCATCCAATAAGCCGATTCAAACCAAGAAACACAAGTCTCACTCGCAATCAACATTGACATTAACACTCGTAAGCCATGCTATGCCGTTGCTATACATACATACCCATGTTGGCCGAGCCGTGAGCGATATTCATCTTCGCACAGTAGCGGGTCCAAGTCCAAGTCCAAGTCCAAATGGAACTAAGCCAACGTAACGCCCAAAGCACCAGCCGAGGACCCTATCGACGCTAAAAGCGAGGACAAATCAAATGGGATGGACCCGCTCAGTACTACAGACTTGAGGCAATCAGCTGGTAGATTCACAGCAGAGGCAATTGATCGACTGATTATGGCCGAATACCTTCCAACCTGATGTTATCCTGCGGGTCCAGATCCAGCAATTCACTCCCCGAAACTATTACCGACGTTGAATCGAATAGTGTCTACAGCACACAAAAACAAGAAATCGAATCGAGTTGCGAGGCTGCAAGATTGGATCATAGTCTCACAACTTGACCAAAGAAGCTCTAGTCACAAAGGTCGGTAGGAAAAGCCAAGACAAGGGTCAAATGAGCAGAGCCGCTGGGCGATCATTCCATCTCGTCTGTAAAAGCAGACTAGTTGTACGTATTGTTCTGACAAGCTGGCTACCGGACTGAGAGAGACGCCATGCCATCATTCTCAGACATAACGCGGTCTCGGGTTAATAATTGCCGCAGACCGACCCAGGACTAATCAGACGGGATGCATGCTTGAGACATGAGAGAGAACGAGAAAAAGAAAAAGAGTAGCGGGCGCTTGATATCGACATGGAACAGCTGCACGTCATCCATCGATAAGTTGTGAACGTACGGCAAGTGGAAGGTCCATATTTGAGTGATTCACTTGTATAATTGCGCGTCACATCCCTATCTTTGACGCAGTCCCTGTGGGCATTCTCCTGTCGATGGATTACGGCCTGGCAGAATGGATTCCCAATTGGGATCTGTGCAGACCGGCGACTAACGACTCCGTAACAGCTGTCGAACCAATCCTACATTGTTATTCTGGGGCAATATTAAGCGCCTGGGCAGGTACGGTATGAGAAGAAGGATACGAAGAGCCCAATCGACCGGAAACGGTCCTTGATAGATATCAATTGTTTTTTTGTGGTTTCGAATCTGAGTTAGACCGTACCCAAGATAGAGGCTAAACGTGCCTACCTGACTGTGCTGAACGCTAAGCTAATGGAAGCTACGTCCTCCCAAGCTACTGTACGGATAGCAGCTAGGTAATTGTCCAAGCGAGTTACTGTGCTGTACCGATCTAAGCCTCGACCACTCGTATCTTAGACTCCAGAAACACCCCGAGAGACCGTTCAAGGGTCCTTCTCCCTTGAGCTACTGTACTGTACCGTGGATATCTGCTTCACAACTCGCCCATTCCATAAACTGGATTCAAACACATGTTACATGCAGACGTTGTTCTGCATCTCGGGACGCTGCAATCCAGTCGTCATTCATCCCACCCCCGTAGCTATTTAGAGGTGCCAATTTGCATTTCCTCCCTGCGGAAGCTTGCACAGTGCATACTCGGTCAGTTCAACTTCAGCCCCAGTCAAGCCATGGAGTCCAGCCATCGGCCGAGCACACCTGTGCTGTACTGGACATTGTTAGAGTGTCAAATGCCGTGGCAAAAGACGGTTGCGCGGAGCGTCTACAGGAGTCCATGCCCAACGGGCTCTGTAATGAGGATGCACAAGCAAAGAACTTTGAGATTCTAGCCGGAGATGTTCGTGACACAATGCTGGCTGGAGATGGTTGACGTGCTATGAGCCAAGCCCAAGTACAGCCAACGGTGATAGCCTCTCCAAAGGACCCTGTAATTATCTGACACCAAAAAGCCCCCCTGTAAATCATGATAATCACACACAGCAAGCTAAATTTCAAATCCAGCCATGCCTCGGAAAGTAGCAAATGCGTTCGCCGCGTGATGTAATTATAGATTTAGTTGAGTTGCTGTGCCGTATTGCTGTACAGGCTCACTCCCAGAAGCCTTTTGGCTTTTGCGGCAGAAAGTTGCTGGGATAGATCGGCCTTTTTGTTAATCAAGGGTATCCATTGCCAGGTCTAGGCGTGATCCATCCCACCACCACAACCCAACTTAAGACGCACGAAGGGTTAAGGATCAAAAAGTAACGTCGTACTCCCGACCGCTCAGTATCCACCCATCCATTATGGGGGAGGGATCTGTGCTGTGAGCCGTGAGCCTCAACCAGGCAGGTATGTGACAGAAGAATTGTCCTCGAAGGCTTGGTGTGTTAAAATAAAGCAATCTAAGAGCGGCTCTAATCTATCATAAAGCAACTAAGCCATTTTGTCAATTACGCTTCTGGCGGTCACTTCTTCTGACACTCCAAGGCCAGGCCAAGCCCAAGTCAAAAAGCCCACGGTGAGGTGAGGGAGCATAACATGCTTTTTGACGACTTGATAAGATGACGGAGGTGAGGCAACTGACGAAAGCCTTCGGGGGCAGCGAGCCCGAATTGAATTCAATTGATGGATTCATCGAGTTGAAATGACGAATGTGGACCGAGGCACTGCTTGTAGATGCAATAGATACTATTCTACAACGAATAACAAAGGATCAAACAATCACATTCACAGCCTGATTTAGACCGGCCTCATCGATTAAACTGATGATGACTTCCTTGTGAGAATCTATGGCCATGTTAGGAGCCGGCAACTACAAATCTAAAAAGGCCAGAAGCTGAGAATTGACTTTTCTTTGAATTCATCACAGAATAAATGGAAGTGAACAGCTGCCATCACCCTTCCTTCCATCTTCACCTACCTTACTCCGAGCGAACCACGGGAAAGTCGATGCGCCCTAGAAAGAGAAAACGGCAACTGGAACCACACCCCCAAAGTCCCTAAGTCGAATTGAAGTCGGCGTACAGTGCCCCGCACCGTACTCTCTGGCTCCTTCCCTTGCCATCCTTGCCTTTACCTGGGTCCCCGTTCTGTTCGGCACCAACCTAACCTAACCTACCTACCTTCCTCCTTCTGCTGCACCTGCCACCACTGCCTCAAACTCTCTTTCTCTTCCACTTTCTCCAAGCAGCTACTGCTTCACTTCTCAACAACGATCTGAATCTGAATTGCTTCATACTATTCTCCATCTATATTTCTCTCTACGCCTGGAGGAACATGATAGCGTCGCCTCAACAATACGTTTTCTTTTCACGTTGATAGCCTTATTACGTTTATACACCTACAGTACCATACCTACCTCCCCTCCCCCCACCAAAAGTGACGAACCGCGCCCGCCGCCCGCCGAAAGACTCCCCGCCATTCTATCGCTGCTTCTCAGTCGCCCAATCTCGTGCCCCACGACGAACTGTTGCGAGCACGACAGCGAAACCCTCACTTTTTTGACCCTCGCGAATGCGAATTTGAGCCAGTCGACCTGCGATGGTAATTAACGACTCTGGCGTAAGAGTCTCGCACCCCAACCTCGCCATGTCCGCTACCGCTCCTACAAATGCCGCCGCTGGCACCGCACCCTCCACCACCGACGACTCTGGTGAGCTATCCCGCCTTCGCCGGCACTGCCCCTCGTACTTCTGAGTTCGACTTGATCCGCGCGCCGCCGCCGACCAGACTTTCCGATTTTACATGCTGACATATATAGCCTCAACCATCACTGTCAACACAAAGACGCCCAACTTCCCTCCCCCAAAGACGGACAAGCCTCGTCCTCACGTTTGCAGCACCTGCTCCCGTTCGTTCGCCCGATTGGAACATCTCAAGCGACACGAACGCTCTCACACAAAGGAGAAGCCTTTTGAGTGCCCCGAGTGTTCAAGATGCTTTGCTCGCCGTGACCTGTTGCTGCGTCACCAGCAGAAGCTGCACCAGACTTCGACACCGGCTTCCCGTCCTCGTAATCGTCGTGAGTCCACAACCGGCGTTGCTCCTGGCCAGAGCCGTGCTCGCAAAAACAGCGTCGCTGGCAATGTAGCAGCAGTTGCCGCTGGCGCAGCAGCTCCAGCTTCAAATGCCGCATCCAACACAATGCGGCCCCGAGCCAACACCATTAGTCATATTGATGTTTCGGCTTTACAGATGAACTCTGCTAATGCTGCTGTGGCTCGCGGTGCGCCTCACGGCCACACTCACAGTAGACATCCCAGTCTTGCCGGTTTGCCGATTCACAATATGGATCATTTCTATGGTGGCATGTCCGCTGCTATGGGCCAGCGTTCGATGCAACCTGGCCTCCCTAAGCTTGATGCTGGAGCTTTCAATAGCCTGGATTTTGTTAACCCTCTCAGGACGGCGCCTTCATTGTCCGCCTACAGCACCGAGTTCGAATTTGACAACATGCTCTTCGGTGGAACGACAGTCAACCCCAACAACCTCCATTACAATGATTCACCGCAGGCGATGAATTTGGAACAGGCTTCGCCTTTCGGAAACGGGATCGATGGGATGCACACAGGTCAAAACTTTGACGATAGCATTGACTGGTTGACTGGTTTTGAGCACCAGATGTCATTCGCGAACGAGAATGTGATTGATGGATCTAGTCCGTCCGCAATCAGCACGACTAGTCAGAGTGGGATTAGCGATGTTATGTTGGATGGGTCGAATCATCCCGCACCGGCTGGGACAAGTGCTATGTGGCAACAACCTGTGATGCCGCCTCCACAGATGCCTACGAACCCCTTTGCGATGGATCTTAATGGTTCAGTCTTTCCGGATCTCCTCAACGGAGCACCGTTATCACCTCAGCCAGCTACTCAAAAGATCAATGACCCTTACTTCTCTACGCCTCCACCCTCGCTGAGCTCGTTGAGTCCCTCTGTCGTGACGGGGCTCAACACCCAGAACATTAACCAGACCCTTGGCTTTAACGCCGGCCCGGAGACGCCATCCTCCCTAAATGGCGGCAACCACGGTGCTTCGCCCGTGACCACCATTACAGATGCCACCCGGCATGCCATCGTGAACATCCTGTCCCAGTGCCTGCCCTTTGGGGGTCGTAAATATTCCTTTACTTCTCAAGGCTCACCTCAATCTCCTCTCTCCCAGACTGCCGGCAATGCCGCCTCTCCTCAAGCAGCCAATTTGCCCAGTACTCAGGACCTCCAGCGATATGTCGGTGCCTATCTAGCTTATTTCCACCCTCATCTGCCTTTCCTGCATCTTCCAACATTGTCCTTCGATATGCCTCTTTCCAATAGTCGTCCAGGTGTAGGTGGTAGTGGTTGCCTTATCTTGTCCATGGCCGCCATCGGTGCGCTCTACGAGATGGAAGTCACCATATCTCGAGAGCTGTTCGAAATGGCCAAGAAAATGATTTTCTTCTATCTTGAAGAACGTCGAAAAGCAGATGTTCGAAAAGCAGACATTCGTCGAAGTACCCCAACTGATCATAGCAACGACGGTGGAGTCCATACTCCAGTATGGCTTGTTCAGGCGATGCTTCTGAACGTCGTCTATGGTCATAACTGCGGCGACAAGACTGCCAGTGATATTGCTTCAACCCACTGCGCTGCTCTGGTCAGTCTAGCTCAAGCAGCTGATCTCCTTCGGCCCGGTCGTTCCAACGCCTCTGACAGTCAAGATATTCAGATGGCTGAAGATGGGAGCTGGAATCCCAACAAGGAACCCGACCAAACGGAGTGGTTGCGATGGAAGTCAGGAGAAGAGCGGAAACGAACCCTATACGCAGTCTTTATACTCTCCAGCCTTCTGGTTTCTGCGTACAACCATACACCTGCGTTAACTAACTCGGAAATCTTCCTGGATCTTCCGTGCGACGAGGAGTTTTTCTCGGCCGAATCGAGCGCTGTATTCCACGCCAGAGGTGGAGCAGATGCCGCGGACCACAATAGAATGACTTTCCACGAGGCTTTGGGCGACCTTCTTCACGCCAACGATAAGACACATCAATTCTCCGCGAACGGCCAATTCGATCCCTCGACAGATGGTAGAGATCTGATGGCATCGCCACTTCGCACTAGTACGTTTGGCTCACTGGTCCTCATCAACGCACTTCACAACTATATCTGGGAGACACGACAGAGACACCACAACAAAGTTTGGACAAACGAAGAGACGGAGAAAATGCATAGACATATCGAGCCTGCTCTCAAGGCATGGCAGGCAGCTTGGGCAAGCAACCCTCATCACAGTGTTGAGCGCCCAAATCCCTTTGGTCAAGGCCCCCTGTCAGCCGATGCAATTCCTCTGCTCGATTTGGCGTACATTCGGCTCTTTGTGAACCTTGGACGCTCAAAGGAGAAGTTCTGGCAGCGAGATTGGGACGGTATGGCCGAGGAACTTTCTCGTGGCAATGAGATCATTCAGCATGCAGAGCAATCACCAATCTCAAACTCTGAATCTGGCAGCACCGAGCCTTCAGACAACTCCAACAGCTCCGGATTCGCAGAATCACCTGCAACTCAGACGTCATCAATGGACTTTTCAAACACCAAGTATCCTCTTCAGCCAGGATCCTCCAACGTTTCGGGCAACGCCACTTCTCGTCGGGAGAAGCATTTGCGAAAGGCTGCCTTCTATGCTGCGGATTCGCTCGCCATGTCAGATAAACTCGGTGTCACCTTTGCCGACTTTACAAGCAGGGAGCTTCCACTCCAATCCGCCCTCTGCGCCTTCGATTGTGCTCAGGTTCTTGCGGAATGGATCGCTACGCTACAGGACCGGGTTGGCTGCTACCTGGGTATTCTCGGTAAGGATACAGTCGACCTTACTGAAGTTCACGCGATCATGCTCTTGGAGGAGGAAGATGTTAAGCTGCTTGGTAAGGTCCAGGAGGTTTTGTCCTCGGCAGAGATCAAGATGAATATGCTGGGTGGACAAGAAGTCACCGCGGACATGGATGGTCACAATGGCTACGCTGCGAAGCTGCTTCGAATTACTGCTCTGATGCTAGACAAGGCAGCAGTTTGGCCCGTGACACGTCTCAAGGCTCGCTGCCTGGAAGCTCACGCAAACTTCATGCGAACTCGTGCTGAAAGGTCCATCATTCCTCAACACGAGTCACGAGTGTAATCATAGATTTGATTGAAATAGCAACGTTACGAGCTCATAGCTCCACCTGAGGAACAATTACGAATAGCAAGCGTTATATCGAGATATGTACACGGTTGGGGAGGGTTGTTTCTTCTGCGTCAACACATCGTCACCGGCTTGACGCATCGCAAAAGTTCACATGAACACCTCACACAAAAGTCTATGGCTTTTATTTGCAAATTATTGGTTTAGGGCATGATTCGGCTTGCCCATGTGTATGTTTAGCGTTTGGGCGTTTGGCGGTTGCTTTATCAACAGCTTTGTTGTCGGCACAACAGCATTGGGATCTTATCACACCATTGCTTTTGCCTGGATTTATCAGGGTTGTAACATGGAAGCATGACGAAGTCACATGAATCGGATATTGGTGAAACGACCAATGGGCAAAGAAACACTTGAACTGGGAACGCCATGTACAAATTCTTGCGGTTAAGTTTCGTCAGTGTTGCCCCCGAAGCACAGTATAGTAGTATATGTATAGCGATGTTACTAGAACATGTCGAAGAGAGCAAAAAAGGATCTATGTCAACAAATTCTGTCACCATGTTGCACGTATGTACAAGGTGTGCCATCTTTTGTGTTCTCGAATATGTAGTCCTAGTCAGATACAGATTACGAGCAAAAGACTCGAGAGTCGTCGTCTGTTAAAATGTAGAAACAGTCTTTAACAAATACCTGTAGACACGCATCATGAGAGAGGTCTCATGAGGACAAGTAGCTTGGTAGTAATTGAAGCAAACGATGACAATCGAACGATACGATTTTACAGGCTGATGCTCCCGTTGCTTACCTATTGTTTAGGCAGAAGTTGAAACATTAACTAAGGGGAGGTTCGGTGGGTTAAAAGTGGCCTCTATGCATATGCAAGCAGTATCGCTTCTAGCGTAACCTCACCTGGAACTATCCTCACAACATCTCCTCTTGAACTTGACAAGCCAACACCAACATGACAGAACAAGACTCATTAGAAAAGACTCCTTCAGAGTTCAAATTTACCTTTGACGACTCGGTCTCAGAATGGAACGTCAACCATCGCGAATGGCTTAAGACGCACGACAAAACATGGGACTCCCTCGCAACAGGTGCTCTCATCTTTGACGCTTCCAACCGCATTTTGCTGCTGCAACGTGCTCCAGACGACAGCATGCCCAACAGATGGGAAATCCCCGGTGGAGCCTGCGACGACGAGGATGAGAGTGTCCTACACGGCTGTGCGCGCGAGCTCTGGGAAGAAGCAGGTCTAGAAGCCATGCACATTCGTCACGTTATACCTGACGGCGCAGGTGGAAAGCCTGGGCAGGTGTTTACGAACAGGACAGGGAAGAGATTCTTCTGCAAGTTTAGCTTTGAAGTTGATGTTGTGGATACGCGGGATGTGAAGTTGGATCCCAAGGAACATCAGGATTATGTGTGGGCAACGGAGGAGGAGGTCAAAGTGCAAAGGATGAGGGAGGGCGATAGGGAGATTCCTCTGACGAATGCTATCATGGTGAGGGTTGTTGAGATGGGCTTTGCCTTGAGAAAGGCTAGACAGGATGCTTGAGGCTTTTGAAGAAACTTATATTAATATTACACTTGTTCTGTTGTTAAAAGACAATATGTAACTCCTATGTCCGTATGTAATTTCATCATGAGTCGTGTGAGGTATCATTATCCACCACTCGTAGTCCAAACTTTTCAGCATATCATATATTTAATCATCACAGCTTTCTTCAAAGCACTTCATTCAAGCTCAACATGAATGTTTGTCAAGATCATATAATAGTCTTTGGAGATAGCCACTTCCCAATAAGGAGAGCTCGAGCAGCGACGTTGCAAGCTCCCCCCACGGCAGTCAAAGCAGTGAATAGACCAGCTAGAGCCTCAGGTCCCATGTTCTCAAGCATGGCACCACTGGTGGGGAGAGCGATGAGGAGTGCGAACGCAGTGACAAAGTTCATCATGCCTTTTTGATGGTTAGTCGAGGCTTTATTTCTTAGAGAATTGTGCGTCCTTACCATAATAACGTCCATAGTCTTTGGCCTCGCAGGTTTTACCCATACACACTGGCATATGTCAATCACGATGTTAAGAAGGGGTTCCAGTCAGAACTTACCAGGTGTAATAGAAAGGAATGAGCCAGATCCAAAACCCCAGAGGGCAGACCAAGCATATAGAGCCGCAGCCGACTTGGTACCAAAAGGAACAAGCAGCGCACCCATGAAGACAATGGTAAAGACAGCCATAGCAAGAAGAATATTGAAATGCCCGTACTTGTCACCGATAATCCCCGGAATGATTCTACCAAGCGTAGACGTCGATCCGATAACAGCAAGTAAAGTGAAGCCGTTCTCGGGAGTGAAGCCGACGCGCGTAGAAATAGACGGCAAAAGACCCGAAATACTGAAGATGACAAACTCAAACATGAAAATTCCACCTGTGACGAAACAGAACGCAGGAGATTTGAAGGCTGTGAAGTTGAGTGTCGAACTCTTGGGGCTTGCCTGACCTCCCGCGGCTGTAGAGTTCTTGTAGAGCTTGTTGAAAGGGATGAAGCAGATCATGCTGGGGAGGAGCAAACCAGCTGATATAAACGCCATGATTCGCATAGACCACTGCCATCCAATGTTGGGGTATGTAGATCGTAGGATAAGAGGGAACATGACAGCTCCGATGGATGATCCTGCGAGTGTAATACCCATGGCCAGACCACGCTTGCGGACAAAGAGCTTTCCCACAACAGCTATCGCGACGACCATTGTCATTGCAGCGCCGATACTACCAAACACTCCTAGGCAGAGCATGAAGTGCCAGTATTCGCTACATTCGGCCATGAGGAGGAACATGGCGACGTATAGAACCGCTCCTACTGGGCCGATGATGTTGGGGCCATGAACATCTACCATGGGACCGACTTGGACGTTGAAGATCAGAGAGAGAAAAAGAAACATGCCACTGATCCAACCGACCTCTCCTTCGCTGTAGTTGTGAAGTTGATTTATGCTGAGATATGACTGGACTGTACCGAGGGAGTTCATGAAGCCTTGAGATGTTGTTAGAAGAGGATGGTCATTGTATGTCGTTTTATGCTTACCAAATGTAGGAACCAACGCCAAAAAGGATCCAAGAACGCAAAGCCACGCACTGATCGACTTTTCTACATCTTGACCTGGGGCATCCTCTGTGTTTGGTTGTGCTTCGGCGTCTGGGTTCACGTTGGACATGGTAGCCATTATAGGATCAAGCCCATAAGCTGCCCAATTGGCATTTTCCTGGAAACTCGGCCGCCGAACATTTTCCTCGTCAGGCGTCGAAGGGATCATGTTTCCAATTCGTACTGCAATACAAGGTGTAGAGATTATAGAATAGAATAGAATTGTATGGTGTTGAGCCTAGTATATATGCATAGACGGGATGTATTCCCGCGCCCACCGTTTCCTTAAATCCTTTCACTTTTTTCTACGGTCTAGTCAGATAGTTCACCAATCATATAACTCAATCTTACAAAAAAGGGCTGATTTTAGATTCTAGACTCGCAGATTCTAGCGTCGTCAAAAGCACGCCCTGCGACTTCTCTCGTTCTCCTTGACCGGATCGGAAACGGAGACCGATGGTGTGAAGACCTAGTCTGCCTAGTCACACAAGTCGGTGTAAGCGAAGAATACTACGGTACAGTTCAAGATTTCGTTTACCGAGGGGTGGAAAAAAACTAATTGGGATGTTATTATGAGAGCATGATAAGGTGAGTGGCGTTGCGGGGACCGGAGAGTCCATTTTTGAGTCATAGATCAAGCAATTGCCAAGGATGAAATCTTTTTACATTTGCATATGGGTATGTTTCTGGAATGAGATATCGGTAAATGAGTTGATAAGGTGGTCCTATAACTTCCAAGCAACTAATAGTTTTGGGCGATGGTTCAATAAAGACTTCTTGGGTTGTGACATACGCCTTAGCTGATATCCAGTTCGAGGGTTAAATACACAACTAGGAGAACTCTTGATTCAACGATAAGCCAACCTCCTGTCTATACATCTCTATATAAACAGCTGAATTTTCTCATCTCACAAGTCTGTGTGTGATGGCTTCTAAGAGAATCGGCGAGATATCCTTCAGGGTAAATAGAACCCAATCAATGAGTCCATCAACTCTCGTCACTATATCCATTATAGACCAAGTCACTCGGTATTTTGTTTCACTCCTTGACATCATTCTTTTCAACTCTCATCATTACACTTGCTGACCGCGGTGAACGATCATGGCTCATCAAACATACCGAGTCCTCAAATCACCATCAACCTCAGCAAGATGGTCACACAGACGGTAACACCATGGAAACCTTTCTCGCCCCATCTTGAAGTGAATGAGAATAGTCTCAAATACCGTGACAAAGGCACTCTATTTCTCATGTCTATATAAACGCTTCAAGGGGGCAGTCCTCTACCTTCCTAGTATTACAATTCCTAGTATCAATCCCGCAGCCATGACCCGAGACACGCACTCTCCTGATATATATACATTATTTTCACAATGTATAACAAACATAGACACTATACTCCGCGATATAAGCTATCAGCCAGCCAGTTTCAAGGCGAATTTCCCCCTCGAAGACGATATACGAGATATTCGCCAGGATTTTAACCAATGGGGTATACGCTACGGAGCAAACCGCAGTATACATTCGACACTATCACTCGACTACAAATTTCGAAAACAGGACTATACTAGATCTACGATACAGTCACAGCTTGGACACATGGCGGAGGATCTAGAGGGTCGTAAGTTAAGTTGTTCCTGAGGAATGTTAAGAACATTAACGTTTTCTGGGTAGTTGAGAAACTATGTAAAGGGGAAAGTTACCAAGGTGATGCAAAGGTGATTTTCAGCAGAGTTGAGAGTGTGGTGAATGAGCTGATACGTTTCTTAGGATATCTTCCTAAGGAGCTATGGCTTGAGCAGGATAAGTGAGACCAGGTTGTAGATAGATCTAGTTCCATAGACTGATATATAGAACGTTTACTTGGGGCTATCATTCTAGGCATACCTGTTCTTGGTAGAGAAAGCATGGCGATAGGAGCTTGTATGGACCTGGTTATGCATATGGAGTAGGAGACAAGAGGCTCAAGCACTCTACGCTGAGTCAGTTCCATAATCACAGGTGACTCTGCATGTATGGACATCGCTTCTGTACTGGAAGCGTACTTGCAGCAATGGTATGTTGTTCGACTAGATTCTTCCACTCTAGAGACAATTGTAAACAGTGCTCTGACTCAGCATGAGCGTGTGTTTACCTTCCCCTGAGTCCAATTACCTCTGGCCTACGAATTTGAGCTGTTACACCGTAAGTTAAATTCCTCTCTGTAACTTAATCAGGGCTATAGCTCTTACCATGTACACAAACTAACGATTTAACAGTCAACAATTGCTTTTGACAAGCCCATCACGCACGATAGTGTTGTGCGCCTATCCGTTACATTTCAACATGTCAAGCCATTGCCTGTGACTAGCTACCACTCAGAGCCTCTGATTGTGCTGTAAAGGTCAGTCTGATGCACCTTCAGTTATTGAGCTTCACGATAGTGAGTAACTACCTAGTTATTCGCCTATCATGAGTCAAATAAGCATATAGACATGTGGTACATCTCCTGACATTAAGCATGCAAGCACACACTTTCAACACATTTGCAACCTTGTCAATAAATAACAAGTACTAACAATGCCATCTGACAGAGCAAGCTATTCTGACTCTAGCGTCGCTACATTGGTAGTAAAAGTCTTGTCGAGCCTGAGACGCCTCGTCGAAGTGGCATACGAGCGACACGACAACTCAGTGTGGCCATTGACCTCCCAAACACATGGCCTACAGCTCAGATTCTACACATGGGTAAGAGAAACTAAAGCCGATACCAGACAGTCATCTCCAGGATCATTCGAGACTAGGTTCGACAAAAGCGCTGAGCTTTCAAATATCAAGCGTGCTATCGTCAATCTCGGCAGTGCAGTCAACCGTTGTATGTATAATACAGTCCCAGTATTGTGTATATTGCTGAAAATAATAGTGATAGCTATAATTGATGTTCCGTCGTCCCGGTTCGATGAAAATGAACTGTTGGGGGCTGCCGCGGTTTTTGAGGGAGACATGAGGAGTCTCAAAAATCTGGTGAAACCCAAGCCGTGAGGCTGAAGGACGGTCAGGTTGGGATAGGATTCTAAGGGTGGTTCTCGTAGAGTAGGTGGCTGAATGTTGGCAATGCAAAGGCACTGCGCTCTTGATGAGACCTTCTTTCATATCTCACATTAGACTCGCGTTTGTAATCGATCACTGGTGAAGCTGAAAATAACCCAGTAGATGTATATTATGGCCACTTGAAATTAGAAGCTACCAATGGGTCTAGTTTGTGTGCTCATTTACTCTCATTGTCAGGTCGTCCAACTCCCCAGTATGCATTTGTAGTCCAGTTTCAGGGGAATGGAATCCGGCTGCCGACTTAGGAGCATGTGATGCACTGGAGTCCGATCTTTCCAACGGGAGTGTCTTGCAATGGTTATTTATTTTATCTAGTTAGTTGCTGATATATATTTCCGTGATACTGAGCCCTGGTCACTATTGCTTGTAGCGTATAGCATGATTATTGCAGGTGGTGATTTGGAAGAACTGATGGCCATGTCTCCTCTTTTCTGTTGAGACTTGAAGTCAACTCTCTAGAGCTAATCTTGAGCATTAAATTTCCATGCTGGTGGCCAAGGGATGTTTTTGGGTCTGTCATCCGACCTACGTTGGTTGTCGCTTGGAGCAAAAGGGGTTGTTGAAGCCATCATATCAAGCCGTGGTTGTGCTGCGAAGTGCAGGTATACTCTACGGATAACTAACCATAAGTTAGACAGGCTTTCTGTACAAATCTGCTCAGATGTTTCAATCTGTCGACATTTTAAGAAAACAACTGCACTGGTTTCGTTCTGGGGTACCATCTCATATTGTCATCAGCTAAGTTGAGATACATGTATCTTGAGTCAACATTCTACATCCTCTCTTATTGATACAGTGCTCATTAAGTAGTATGATACTCTTGCGAGCCTTCTACACGTTTGGTCATTGGATGAAGAGATATGGACTAGTCAACAGATTACCAGCTCCATCAACATGACCGAGTATAGGGTAAGCGTCTCATTGATGCATAACAGACATCACTCAGATGGCAAATATTGTAATTGATGATGAGTATACCTGTGGCGATGCAGTAAGAGTTCAACTGCAGTCTTGGCTATGTAAATCATAACAACATAGCCTCTTGTCATTTGGAGAGTCAGTTCACGATCATCTTGGCAATTACGCTGAGCCACCATGGCAGTACGCAAGACCACCATGAGACTACACCGCATTGAATTCATAGTCAGGCAATTCTAAAGCAAAGTCACGAGTCTTGATATGTCACTGTAATCCACCTAGAAAAAGCTTGATCACGACTTGCACACCATGGCTTCCACTAAGATGAATGCTTCAATGCTTTAGCCGACAGGGACAACCCTCAGAGAGTTCACTTTGGCATTTCCGAGGGAGCGGGATGCAACCAAGAAGCCTTCTTGGCGTTAGGTACCACCCTAAATCAGATTCTGACCAACATCCCCCGCGTTTTGCACAAGACGTGGGGAGGTCATACGCAATGATCATGTAAACAACTGATTCATGTTGTATATCACCTACTGTCTTTGATATCGCTACTGTTTCTCAAAGATTCTTCAAGAGGCTTGCTAATCATGGGATCGAAAGGGACGATCAACTATTCCACTGAAAGGCAAACGAACCGGTCAGGGTCTTGCGATCAGCACAGCATGACTTCATCGAGAGTATAAGAAGCGAGTCAACCAATGACGACTCAGGACCTCGTCACTCAGGGCATTGGTGTTTACTGAACAAAAGTCAGACTTGGGAATAACGGTCGGTTGTGACGGGTAATTCGGTTGTTCGGTCAAGCTGACACTGCAGTATAGCACTGTACAATAAGCTGACACGACATTTTGAGATCTGACATCTGGTTGCTGAGACATGATCTTCACGGGGACATGCTTTTTGTTGAGTCAACAGTGATACCCTTAATCGGGTTGGAGCATGGTTTATTCTTCGGCAGTTGATTTGATAGTCCATCGCGACTCCAAATTTGGACATCTTTTATCTGTTACAGGTGGATCAGAAAAACCCGGATTATAAGTGAAGATCTATACTTTTGTTTGCTTTGCTTCGTCTTGAATACGTATGTCGTTCGAGTCAGCATCAATCTCAAATACCCACGCTCTAGTCAGTCCAAAAGAGAAATAGTCACCAAACAGATCCAGGAAATTGATACGACTTCAACCAGAAACTGGGAGAAGTTCAAACTTTAAAATGAAGATAACAAACTTAAAAGAAAAAAGATAATGACCTCACAAGATTGCTGATCGCTCTACAACCCCTGTTAGTAACAGCAACCGGGGATCCCGGTCGTGCGTGACAGTTAAGGCTGGGCTCAAATACGGTAACATAATCACGGGCTTGCCCGAAATAACGAGATGAGAATGAATGAATGAATGGCGCTAGAAGCCCGTTTTCCTTCTGCCTGACCTTCTATTTTGGCATCCATGCGCTCGCAATCAAGGCCCTGTGATTTGATTGTTGTACAAGGGTATGCCTACAGCTGGAAAAAGAACAACTCATTGCTGCTGGGACAACCTGTTGTTGATGTTGATGTTGATGTTGACTTGTGATGTAGTATTCAAGCAAGTTTAAAGTTGGTGATCAGCGATGAGTTGGCAACTCTACTATACGGTACTACCCAGGCAGAACATATCCAGTCTGTAGGATTCCTTGAGTCGCAAGAGCATCTAGCTTTGGTTTAACTTAACGTGCAAGGATCATTTTAGACCTGGAACCAACAGCTTCCAGTCTCACCATGTTGAGCACGAGCCTCATGGGGCCAGGGGTCCTTTATATCATTTCACCTATTCTGTAAGAGGCTATTTAAGCCAGGAATTTTAAAATTTGACATGAAACGAAAACAGAACCAACAGCTAACCAACAGCTAATGCTAATGCTTCAAACTAGGTAGAGCTAAATCCTCCAAGGCGCTGAAACGAGAGACCGCGCGGCGACGGCGCTTGATGCAAGTCATTTAACATAACATAAATAGATATCAATTCATTCTTGTTCTTATTCTTGTTATGTGGAGTAGTGCTGTTTATGTTCGGGTATATAATGGAGATAAGGAGCTCCTGCAATTTAGCTGTGAATTATAGCATTGGCATAAATCCAAAGGTGAGACATACATAGTAAGGCGAGTCACGAGAGCCTCACTTTGTACACACATACGATAAACATGGACTAGCTTCGGCATCTTCAGCAACCGAAGAAATAACAGCAGTAAAAAAAAGTTAAAGACCCTGGTAATGACGGCTGAAGTTGTGCATCTCCACTTGTCCAGATCCAGTGATCATCACGAAAAGAAGGATGCATGACCCTGGCTCTGTGGGAATACCCTGAAAAACAAAGCAAAAGTGAGTCTTTTTTTCTTCTTCTAATTTTCTAACAAGTAATTTGCCATAACGATTCTCATCTCCTCGGGATGGCATCACCCAGCTCTAGAGATCGAGCATTGTTGGAGATATCAAAGTCTTGGAAGACAAGAGTTTGTTGCCGCTAGATCCGCGGGGTTACGGCTGCCAGATGTAGATGTGAATGCATAATTATAGAACTGAGAGAAGAAAAGTCAAGTCGTTAGTAAAGAGCGCAATGCGATACGCTGCGTCATTCCGTCCCCATCCCCCGGAGATGGATGGACCCTAGGTAAGATCTTGAATTATTTTTTCTGTCTTGTGGAGTTCTTGAATGCTACTTCGGCACCGGAACGGTCAAGTTCTGGTGTCATTAGTGGTGGAATTCTTTCTGAGGGATGGATATTGCTTTTCTTACCAAAAAAGCCTCGTCTGAAGTTGAACCTGACAGAGGCAGAGTTGGTAGTAGCCTTACATTACGTAGCCTGTTCAAGGACCCCTACTGCACTGAATTTGAATGCATCAACTGAAAAGAGTAAAGGTTGGTTACTAGGGACTGAGAATACTTTACTGTAGTTGGCTGTGCCGCGTCACCAAAAAGAAGCGAGCCCCGTCAATCGTACGGGGATGCTCCGCAGCCTCCGGGGTTCGGTCCTCTCTCGCCTCTGTCTCCCTGTATTTCTAGGCTATGGCTATGCTATGCTATGGTACTGTATCAGTAAGAATTGATGATCGGGAACGACGGATAGAAAACCTCGGGGCGTATTCTGGCTTCTCTCGTCTTTCTTCGGAGAGTGAGACTTGGCCATGTCATAGTCATAATATTGGATTACTTCAAATTCCTGGGGGAATACATTTAACCCCAAACCATCCCATTTCTCTCTGTCTGACTCTCTTCCTTGTTCGTTCTCTACTTATGACAGCATCATCATCATCACCTTGGGGATACTCCAGAGCGCTACAAAAACCCCTGTTAGGTCAACACTTACTTACCTTGCCAACGTTACATATTTGATCTTGATCTTGATCTTGTCTTGTCTTGTCCTGTCTCGTGTCAACTTAAACTTTTATTCCTTGGATTCCTGCTTTTCTCCCCCCAGTTCAACTTATCCTATCCCCGTTACTCTCTCAACCTCGCTTTCATTTCCCAGCAGAGAAAGAAGTTCCTACCTATTGCAGAACAGGAACAGGAACAGGAACAGCCCAGTCCAGCCTTGTTTGGGCATTCGTACTGATACCTAATTACCTATCGTCTCGTCTCGTCTGGTTCCCGTCGCTTTCGCTCTGCCCGGTCTCAAACTTCAGCCCACAAGCAGTGAACCGTGCTTAATTGGACTGCACCGTTGGCACCTAACATTGGACTTGAACAACTTTTTATTTTATTCTATATATTACTTTTTTTATCCTTTGGGGATCCGCTGAACACAAAATTATTTTTCATCCGCTCCAACCGCCTGCAATCTCACTCACCGTTTGAGTCGAGAACTCCATCGATCAAACAATCAATCTCAGGCAACCAAACGGGAGAGCGACCGATTGAATCGACAAGGATTGCTAGGGCCTCACTTTCACCTTCAGTTTCTGTCTTCAGTGAACTGAACTGGGCTTTGGTCGCGTCAGAGGCTACAGTTGCACTAGCCACAAGCGAATCCCTTGAATCTCATGTTTCGGATTTCCATGTTTTAGTGGAAAAAGGTACGTACTCTTTTTATTCTTTGGTCTTGCGAATATTCGCATTCAGTTGAAGATAATTCTTGTTTCTTGTCTTTATCCACGCCCGCTTTGAGTGAGTGACTGAGTGGTTGGATCATGCATTGTCCAAGTGGAATGTGCTATGCATGAAATCCATGAAAGAAAGTCCATGTTTACCGATCTTGTCAAGACCATATTGCTTCTTGATCAAGGGCTTTGTTGTCCATCGCTCCACCTAAAGCTCTATTCATTCCTCATCACCGCTATTCATCTTGTATCCATTCATAATTCACAATGCAGAGAAAGCCCCCCTGCTCTTCGGCCCCGGGTCCGTAATCCTCTGCCCTGTTTCTCCACTGCCTGGGCTGGCCTGCCCGCAATCATCCCCACTACCAACCAGTCTCCATTGCTATTATCGGCCGCCAAAACGAACAAGGCGTGACCCCTACTAGCTCCCTGGCCGTTCAGTCTTGACTCTTGTTTGTTTTAGAGAGGCAGGACCTGGACTCACCTATCAGCCCCAACCTCGAAGGATGAAATGTCATGGATGCCAGCGCATAATTTAGGGAAGTGATGGGCACTGCTGTTCTGTTGTCCTGTGCCCTGCAAGCCCAGACCTGACCCGACCCATACCCATACCGCAACTACACTGCAACACACCGTCTCGTTTTTATTTACTCGTGCTTTTTTACTACGAGCTAGCCCCTCCCTTAACTGCGTCTCCAATATAACGCCTTTTTGGTGGTCCCGCTCACTTTCACGCTCACGCGGTCAAGAAGCAAGTCAACATAGTCAACCTCCAGATCTACTATAACCTCATCCTTCTCCATCGCAACGCGTGTGGGAAAGTCCCTCTTTTACTTCTTTCATCTAGTGTATGAAACTGTCTGTCCGCTGTTTGTTTTGAGAGCATTCCAGCACTTGGACTTACATCATCTTCTACACCCACTCTCTACTTCTTTTACGTTGCATTCTAATACTCGCTCCCCCGGCTGGACTGGACCACCCGCGCTTTTCTTTCCTTGGCTTTATTGGCCTCGTCATCGCTCTCGTTCTTGTTCACGCTCAAGTTCAAGAGAAGTCAGTCACAGTTGTTAACCCATCATGGCAACAGAACAAGAGTCCGCCCAGCGTCGTCCTGCTTGGGTTCCTACTCACGATAACATCTACTACCGTCCTCGACTCAGCAAGAAGAAGTCTGTGTCTGGACGTTTTCCTGCACCGTTGATCGGACCTCGAAGATCTCGCCCGCAAGCGATCCACATTGTTAGCTATCCATCCGGCTACATTCCCAAAGAGCTACGACCAGAATACGAAAACAGAAGCAGACCTCAATCTCCTACGCTCGTTGACGAGCCTCGACCTGCACCTTCTCTGCAACCTTCAACTACTGACAGAAGACAAAGCTTCAAACCTCGTCCAGCAACTCGCCGAAGAGACAAGTTCCTGAGCTCGTTTACTTTGTCCAACACAACTGAATCTGATTCTATTTCGGGTCTTACACCTGCCGAAGCGCTATCCAATACTGACCGCTCAATTCGGCCAAGCGCTGGTGCTAATACCAATCCAACTCAGGCAATTGGACAGTCTTGCCTGTCGGAATCGGACTTGGCCTGCGAAGCTCCTTCCACCATTGGCTCAAGACCTAGATTTACTGGAGCAGGTGCATCCTCATCCCCGCCAGCATATGACGACATAACTTCCCGCCCTGTCTCCGGTTCCAGTTCCACTGCGCCTGATTCTGATCTAGGCTTTGTCGCTACATCCACTTCAACGCCTTTGATCAGCTCCAATTCTGCCGATTGCAACAGCAGTAGCAACTCCAATTCCTCCCAAACAGCCGCGAATATGGCGACTGCTCGAACTTCGCATCCTTCGCTGCCTCTTTCCAACTCAAACCGAAATAGCTTCATGTCGGCTCGTTCATCAAAATCTGCCGTCACTTCAGTCTCAGAGGTACCAAAGCCCGTCGCTTCCGGCAGTGGCGTGTCTTGCTCCATTCTACTCGCTGAGCCAAACATTTTCCTCTCAGGTTTCGATCACGACGGTCATGGTAACCGTGAAGGCCAGAGTGGTACTGCTTTGTTGAGAGGCAAGCTTCAATTGCGCGTTACAAAAAATGTAAAAATCAAGGCTGTTCAGCTCAAACTTCTTGGTCGCGCCCGCACAGAGTGGCCTGAAGGCATCCCTCCTCTTAAGCAAGATGTATTTGAAGAGGAGAGTCTGCGCACACAGGTCCTGACCTTTTTCAATGCCATGAATGACGGCTGGGAATCCGAGTATGGCAACCAGTGCACTTACCGTCTCAAGGGTGGCTCTCCCAATGGCAGCTCTACAAACCTCGTTCGCCCCAATGCCTCATCATCTCTGACCCCGCAGCAAAATAACCTTTCTGCCAAAGATATGAAGCGTTTGTCTCTCCAGAGTGTTCAGTCGCGAAGTTTCCAAAAAGGCGACAGCCCAATTGCTTCTGCGACACAGGCCAAGGGTTACAAGGTCTTTTACCCTGGTACATATGATTACACCTTTGAATTACCAATCGACCACCACCAGCTGGAAACAACTAAGTTGCAGTATGGATCTGTTAAGTGGGAGTTGCAAGCGACCGTTGACCGAGCCGGAGCCTTTAAGCCTAATCTGCACGGTACCAAGGAGGTCTCTATTGTCCGTGTACCTGATCAATTGTCTCTTGAGATGACAGAGCCTATCTCCATCAGCCGCCAATGGGAGGATCAATTGCACTACGACATTGTCATTTCTGGCAAGAGTTTCCCCATTGGAAGCAAGATTCCCATCGCCTTTAAACTTACACCACTTGCCAAGGTTCAGGTGCACAAGCTCAAGGTTTATGTAACAGAATCCATCGAGTACTGGACAAACGATAAGCGTGTGACCCGCAAGGACCCAGGCCGAAAGATCCTGCTTCTCGAAAAGTCGGCTGGCAAGCCCCTCGATTCGTCCTACTCTTCATCCGATATCCGAACACTCCGTGGTGGCGAGCTCGACGCTGAGCAGCGACGACAGGCCCGCGAGGCTGCTGCCCGACGACGAGCACAGGATGCTGCCAGGCGACAGACTACTGCCGAGCCACTACCCGAGCCTTCTGCCAACCTTCTCGGCGACTTGGATTTGGGACTCGAGACTATCTGGGGCTCGACAGAAATCGAAGCCAATGTGCAGATCCCTACCTGTGAAATGATGGCCAAGAACAAGGAGCTACGACTCAACCCTGACTGCAGCTGGAAGAACGTCAATGTGTTTCACTGGATCAAGGTACGACTTTTTTTTTTTTGAGTAATTCGTGTGAAACATTAGCTAACATTTCCCAGGTCGTCATGCGAATTAGCCGAATTGACCCTGAGGATCCTAGTGGCACAAAGCGCCGGCATTTCGAGATCAGCATTGATTCACCCTTCACTGTGCTCAACTGCCGTGCTACCCACGCCAATACCAACCTTCCCGCTTACTCAGGCGCCAACTGCAATGGAACCACATACCAGTCCTCTTGCGGATGTCCTGATGCTTTCACCGTCCCTACCGATGCTTCTCCTAGCTCTTCAGAGGGTACTCTACCCGGTGTTAACCCCAGTACCGACAACCTCCCGGCGCCACCACAGGCTGCCCATCTGGCCAACGCTGTTAGCGGACAACAGGAACCTCGACCAATCCATCTCCTTCGAGTCCCCAGCTTCAATCCCCCTGCGTTCGAAGACGATATTGCTCCACCTCCTGCTGCCGAACTTGTTCGCGACGTACCCGAGCCTGTCATGACACCTCCGCCACAGTACGATGTCGTAGTCGGAACTCCCAGTGTGGACGGTATGGCCGACTACTTTGCACGACTGGCTGACGCCGGTTATGAAGGACAGGATGACTCGGAGTCGGATCCTGATGATTCCCCACCAAGAATTCTGGACAGAACTGGACGCGTCAATGTTGCCAACCCTCGAACTCCTGGTGGTCGAAGGATGCCAAGTCGAAGTTTGGAAATCTCTAGACCTAATATCCAACTAGATATGAATGCCCTCCGCAACCGAGCCGGACGAGCTGTGTGAAGAGCACTGGCTGTCTGCGTTTGGATATGATGGGAGAGCATATACCACACATAAAGACATGTTCGATGTCGAGCATGTCAGCGCATACACTGACGTCTACGCTGTTTACGATGTTTACGTCTATTTTTTATTTATTTCTTATTTTCATTTGTCAAAGGGCTGTAACAATCAAGCATATGGGCTGCATCTGGCATGGCTGCAATGGACAAGGTCTTGACGGCGTTATATGTTGCTATTCGATTTCTCAATAATGGCTAGGCGTTTACAAAGAGGAAAAGGATGGCAAAGCAGGTCATTTACTTGGGTTCCATTTGGAAGAAGGAAGGGAGGATATACCTTGATTTTGGGGTAGGACATAACTCATGCGCTGGAAGAACGCATACTCACGTATCGATACCACATCGTTTTCTTATCACTACAATATACATGCTACCCATTATGGGTATTTTTCAACCTGGTCTGGTCGTATCAAATATCCATGATAAAAATAGACATGATAGAGCAAGTGTAAACATTTCCTCAAGCAAGGGTCCTTCTGATCTTCTCAGGGTCTTGCCGATGATCTTCAGTGACGACACCAAAATCCGGGGCTGTAAGCACTAAGTTCCATGATGCTAACTAATCAGGCGGTAAGAACCTCTAGTCATCGTCTTGGCAATCTAAATAGGTAGTTTCTACCAATCCATGGGTATTAGTTGTCTGTTTCAGATCTTCGCAAACATTCAAGTTGATTGATTGCTCTCAAGGTATGTTATGTCCTTTCCGAGCATTCCGGTGAAATGTACCATACACCTACCTAGCCAATGACTAAATATCTTGCGAGACAGGAACCCCAATGGCTGCTAAAGAAGGCAGCAACGAAGATAGTGAAGCGCCAGCTAGACAACGCAAGGCTCATAAGAAGTCCCGTCTTGGCTGTAAGAACTGTAAGCTTCGGAGTGTAAAGGTGGGTAGCTTGCACGTCGTTGACTGAACAGTCTCATATACCACAACCATGCATCTGATGCCCTCACTCAACAAATGCTTACTGACTTGATCGTTGCAGTGCGATGAATCAAAACCGTCCTGCAAACGATGCAAGACCTCAGGCTTCGTCTGCTCATTCACACAAACCTCTCCATCATCCTTTCAGCTTGCCCATCTTAATGCCGGACCTGTGTTCTCGGTTGTAGACAAGTTGTTGGGGCCTATCAATCCTGGCTTCAGAGTTCCTGTCGTGCAGCCCATCAAGGGTGGAATAGGAGAGATCGTGCTTGATGATTTTGCTCTCGACACATTGGAGAGGTTTCGAAAAAGAACGGTCTTTACGGTTGGGACGAAGAGAACTAGGACGATTTATAGCGAGGGGGCGTTTCTGCTTGGATTGAAGGTGAGATAACATCCCCAGAGTGGACTAAGTATGAACTAACTAGAATAGCACCCTTTTCTTATGCACGTTTTCATCGCTCTATCCCATCTCCACGATCAGCATCTCGACCCAAGCCTCATAGCATCCCACCGCACACCTCTCGCTTTCCATTGGTATCAAGCGACTGCTCTCTTCCACCGTCGTCTTGCAACTACAAGCTCAGTCGCCGACCCGACTACACTCCCCAGTTCTGAGCGCGACTCCCTCTGGACGGCAGGCGCACTGCTTGGCGCTGCTTCTTTCGCTCTGATAGATGCCGAAAGTGTTGACAATGTCTGGCCGCTGAAGGAGTCAGATCCGCTGGACTTGGACTGGTTGAAGATGAGTGACGGGAAGAAGGTTGTCTGGCATCTAGCTGATCCGACGAGGAAGGAAAGTATTTTTCATGAGTTACTCGGAGAAAGGGAGGGATTGCCTGATGGAACAAAACCAATTCCCGCGGATGCCCTACCGGCCGTATTCTACACTACTTTCAACCTCAACGCCTCAACAGTCGAAACGAATCCCTACCACATATCCTGCTCGCTCCTAGCCCAACTCCTCCCCCGTGAGATAAACGACAACACAGTAGTCCAATTCCTATCTTTCCTAACCCAACTGGATCCCCGCTATCGAAAACTCCTAGAGAAAAAAGATCCTCGGGCTATGATCCTGCTCGCGTGGTGGTACACTAAAGCTGCGGCGCACAGCTCATGGTGGATGCAGAGAAGATCGCTGGTAGAGGGACAGGCGATTTGTGTTTACCTGGAGGGGTATTGTTTACATGTGAAGGGGATCAAGGAGTTAGTTGAATTTCCAAAGAGCGTTTTTGAGATTTGTAAGAGGAATGGGGCGAAGGCTGTGGAAGATAGGGGACCTTTGGTGATGAGCAACTGGGTATACTAGAAGGCCGACGATATCGATCGTCACCGCCAGTCTTGAAGTGTATGTGGATGATAATTCTGTTGTTGCGTTATAATAGCAGTTAAGAAATCCTCGTGTTTGATGATCCTGTAAGTCACTCTTATACAACATCATCATATGGTAACGCGACCCAAGTGAAACATAAATATTATCCATTATGCAACGCTACAGACCTAACGAGAGACCTCTGAACATACCAAGAATAAAAACTCGAACTAATCAATAGTCGTGAGTCGAAAACAAAACGCTCCTTAATCCTTTGAACAGCGCAGCATCCAGCCTGCGATGCGACACAGCCCGTAGAACAATTGGCTGTCATGAGCATAAGAGATGAAATAGTTTCATCATCTTACGTTAGTTTAGATAAGCATATAGGCTACTGTATTTAGGTAACCTCAACCTTGGGGAACAATTCTAAGCCCCAACGCTGACTTCGGAGTTAACAGGTTGCTTTTCCTTTTCTTTGTCGCCATCCTTGCCGGGCATCAGAGGGTGCTCGGGGTCGTAACCAACGGACTTGACTATGCCGAGGCCTTTGGTACGCCCCTCACGGAAGAGAAGCCTATCGCCTGGCGCAAGATACTCGGGACGCTGGACGAAACGGAACGCTACAGTGGCGCGATCTCCTGTACGGATGAGTTCGCGGTCGATGTCGATGATAGCACAGGTCTGTGAGACAGGGCCAACGTGAAGCATGGCCTGGTATTTTGTCTTGATGGTAGTGGCATGAGAAAGGATGAGGACTGAAAGAGAGTTAGCATTGATGGCTCGTTGTATGCTCGGGCGATCTCATCATTATGTTACTTACCCTCTGCAATGAACTCCCGGTGCACCTTGGGCATTATCTGGCCTTCGATTCTGGGAAGTACCACCATGCCCTTTCTCACATCCTTACGCTTGACCTTCTTCAGAGCAAAGGAGGCAGACTGGCCTGCTGACGCAGCAGGAACTCTTATCCTCTTACGCTCAATCGACTTCACGCCGGTAGGGATGAACTGCCCTAATGAGTCGGGTCCAATGAGGACGTTGTCGCCTTCGTGGATCACCCCAGACTTGATGATACCAGAAACAACGGTTCCAGTGAAAGGCACTGAGAAAGTGTCATTGACGTGGAACTCAAAGGGGGCGTCTGAGTTGTAACGTCCATGGTGAGGGAGGATATTCAGGAATGTCCTGACCAGGTCAAGGTTTTCTCCTGTAACATTGGAAACAAGGAATACCGGACATATTCTTTGACTGACGAATTGTGTAGCTGTGTTGATGCATTCCTCGCGCGTCTTGATGAAAGTTGGGATCTTGCGGGCTCCAGGACTCTTCATAATCTTGGTGATTTGTGTCAAAGTCTGCTCCAGGATGTTAGGTGGGCAGATGTCAATCTTGGTAACGACAACCATGACAGGTACATTGAGAGCTAGGGCGATACCCAGATGCTCCTTGCTCATGCCGATAAGGCCGTTGTTCGCTGCGACCATGAGGAGGCAGTAATTGGGGCTACTCGAGAGCAGACCGAAAACTGTCGTTCTTAGGTACTTCTCGTGGCCCGCCAAGTCAGTGAATGTGATGACCTTTGCGCTTCGCTTACCAATTTCCTCCCAAGAAAGCTTGCCTATAGAATGTCAGTAAGTCAATACTTTCAAAGTGTGGTCGAACTTACGCCCCGGAGTGTCTGAGGTAATGACATGGCCCTTTGTGTCAAACCCCATGATCTCCATACCCACGGAACTGGTTCGGCCAGTCTCGATTTCATGTTTATGTCGGAAGAGATTCACTCGCGCCCTCCCTCGTCCATCGTCAAGGTCGCCCTTGACGAGAACACCTAGCATAGAACTCTTACCAGCATCAACTGTAATGCTGTTAGTAAGGATGTCTCTAGGCAATATGAAACTTACCATTTCCGACTACCGCTATTCTTGTCTCGATGACATTCTCTATCGTAGAAGGGTTCTGTCGTATGAGGACTTTGCCACTGCAACTCTTATCCTTCGTTGAGCCCGTGCTGGTGCTCGCGGCTTCGACATCGCCACCGACATTCTTGGTCAACAAGAGATCGCAATCGGCGCGCGCTCGCTTGGCTGCTCTTTGCAACGTCTTATACGCTTGATTCCACTGATCAAGCGTCAGGTTCATTGAGTCGCCGTGGTTCTCGTATCCTATCTCGAAGACGCATTCACCAAACCCTTCGTCTAACCGGTCAGACACGATATTCTCTAATTGCTTCAAGTTTTCATCGTCGTCGTCTTCGCCCGACTCGAGAAGGAGTTGCTTGAGAGGCACTCGGGGCGCTGAGTCTGCGAGATCGAGATTATCAAACAATTCGTCGAGCTCCTCGTGTTGTTCGATATTTGAGTCGGTGGTTTCGGCAATCGTGTCAGTCGTTATTTTTGCGGTGGGATAGCGTAAGTTCTGCTGCTGCTCTACATATTCGGCGAAGTCGCTGAGAGCCTAATCATCTGTAATGAGCTTCCATTTCTCATGATACCATTGCGCCAAAGGTTTACTGACAGATTCGCCCTTGCGCTTCTCATGCGCTAACGGCTTCGTCGTTGACATGTTGAAGGCTATGAGGTCATGCGATTGATTACCTATACGAATATCTGTCAAAGTCGCAAGTATCAGCTTGACGGTCGAAGGATATTAATATAGTGGTAAAGTTAACAGTCATACGGCGAGAAGTGGCGCAGCTTTAAGTTGGATATCAATTTTACGAGGAAGAGTCATAGACAAAAATCATAATTGGTAGTATGATTCGTCGGGGTGGTTACTCACGACTCCAGGACTGGAAGCAGGCAAGCACTCTGGCACCCCACACAGCAAGGTTCCTTATCGATAAAAGCTCCAGCTCTGTGCACGGATCTCTTCAACTAAAGAAAGTGGCAACTGCGACAATTCAGTCCTGCCTGATGTCAAGGGATTAGAAAAGTTGACTGTTGGTGAATAAGAAATTAAGATGAATTAGTCAGTTGTTGAACTTGTTTTCATCTCGAGTTATTACAGTCTTCATCTTGTTGAAATAGGACACATTACAAATGCGCAGCCTTGCAGAAGTAGGAAGTGTTGTGCCGCATTCATTTATCGGGGTCATCCCAACCCATTTAGAATCAGAGTTTCACCAGGGTATACCTACCTACACCGGTTCCAATTCGCAGGTCTATTTTTCTCGATTATAATCATGGGCGTAGTCTACTTTGGCATCAATATTCTTTTGTGTCATTAATGGCCTATCTAACCCTTGAACTGGGTCCGTCAAATGGAGCCTTCCAACTACCGAAACCGCTTGTCCAGCTCTTGACCTATCTTGCTGCTAAATGATATAGCTGTGGACTTGTAACAAGACATCTCAAAACCAGTTCCTGGCCTTGATACGGCCTCGGTTGCTCTCGGAGTGACGTGTGCAGCTTGCTCCGGCTGCGGTACGGTGCAACATCATCCGTTATCGCACGTGTAGAGCCAGGCTGTGCACGTGTTGGTGTGTGCAGTGCATGGTGATTTCTGGTCAGCTGTTTTAAAAAGGAACTCCGGGTGAGATGAGGACAACACTATCGCCTACTTCACAGTCAACATTTGCATTATGGCCTGTCATAAGTTGAAACTCACCTCTCACAAATAGCATCTCAGATTTCCGGCTGATAGTCTGTGTTTCGGTCAGATATGATGAATTGAGATGGAGAATTCTGACTCACCTTGAGCTCATCGTCGTCGTCATCTTCGTCCACAGTATAGATGGTCTCCTCAACCTCTCCTAGCACCAGATTGCAATGGCTGTCATAAGCCTGTCTCATCGTTAGCACCAGATTTCCTCCATAGAACAGGTTTCAACGACTAACATGTAGCTTTCCCTTGAGCTCTCGGTCTCCTCGAAGCTTGACAAAGACAACCTCGTTGAGAAGAAGTCGGACAAGGTCGAGAGGCTCCGACACGTGGTGAGGTTCTTCGCCGGCGTCAGCCATCTTTGTGTTCAGTAGTAATCGTCTAAGCGAATTTGGACTCGGTGAGTGAATGAGTGCGGTGGTGAGCTGGATGCCGGATATGAGCCCCAAGTTTCAGTGGGAAAACGCGGGCTGGCAAGGTTGGCAAATCTTCGGGGAAATTGTTGATGTTATGCGACAAGCCGTACGAGACTGTGATGCACTTATCGCACACTTTACCCCATACTTTCATGCACTTATCCGTCGCGGCTCTGGTTGAACCTTCCCGAATTGGGGTCGCACAGCAGCCAAACGCCCCTCGCGTGAGTGAGGAGGTGCTGAGTTGCATCCGAGGTCTTTCTTCTCATACCATCCTTCAAATTCTTTCCCGGTCTCTCCTTCATGTTACGACGTATTCTGCTTCCAAATACTGTTTCATTGCCATGCTTTGGCGACAATCCCTCCTAAGAGGGCCCTGTCTCGATCGCCCATCGCTAACTCCACTCGCTACTGCGCTACGGATCTATGGCCCACCGCTAAGAGCTCTACGACCCGCTGTGGTGGGTCGTCGACGATGGTTAGCATCAGTATCATCTACGAATATATCTTCGATATTTGCGCAACAGCAACAAGCGAACAATATTGACCACCAGGATCAGTCGAAAAGGTGCTTGGAGGAGCTTCTACGAGTTATACGTTGCAAGGAAACCGGACATGTCGTTCCAGCATTTCACGCATGGGTCATGTTGTTGGTCAGCGATGACCCTCAAACCGCCTGGAACGCTCATCAACAGATGCAAACGCTCCCCGTGAACGTCCTTTCTGCGGTAATTCGAGCGCTAGATCCCATAGAAAACCCGAAACTCGATATTGCTCATGGCCTGGGAATTTCGCTGGGCGAAATTCAGTTTACCAGTGCATGTGCCCTGGTAGACGAATTCGGCATGCGGCGGCATCACGTCTTTGTCCTCGACGCCATGAGGCTGTTGCTTGAAGCTCGTCGGAAAGCTAAGCGCGAGCTTGTAATTGCCGACTACGAAACCTTCATGCGTTGTGCGGGGGCGGCTGGCGATATCCAAGCTGCCATGCACTTTTTCGGTGCCATCAGAGAACATGGCTTGGCTGCAAAGCGCACCACTACAACCTGGAACGAGTTTCTCAAAGCTCGCTATCAAATGCATCCCACATACTACCAGTACGACCGCCAAAGAGTTCTTTTTGAACCTCGCCACGGATATAGAACCAGCTTCAGAACACCTCTAGCAAAGGTGTGGCGTGTCGAGACTCTACGACACGCCATGAATGCCCTTCAAAAATTACCCTTCAATCGCCAAAGAAACCGTCCTTCAGCGAGCAACTACCTGTGGATGAGGCAAAAGATGGGTTTCCAAAGCTACTTTGCTCATTGGCGTCGCACCAGAGGTTACGGTGTTTTGTTAAATGAGGAGTTGTTGTGCAATACTCTTATTGGACTTAGTCGAAGTGGTTCATTAAGCCTTATAAGGAGTATGGTCCTAAAGAAGGGACTCGGGATTGGCCTTCTTCAGGATAAAGAAACCGGGATTTTCGACATCGCCGGTTATAGACGACGGCGCCCTGGTAGTCCGAAGGCACCTACTGTACGCTTTATAAACGCAATAGTCGAGGCATTCGGATGCATGTCACGCATTCGTCTCTGCCTTGATTTGGTTATTCATGTTTCGAAGGTTTACAATATCCCAATACCGCCCGAAACGTGGAACAACCTCTTCAATTGGGCATATGTTTGCTCAACCAAGTCAAACCAAGCTCAACGCAAATATCTGGAGAGCTTTCCCATCTGTGCGGTGGTAGATGCTGACCTTGTTACGAGAGTCTGGGACACAATGACCTCGGAGCCTTACAATATTGAGCCTACCTTCGAAAGTTACATCGCTCGTATCAAGACTCTTATAGTTCAGAGTAAATTCAGCGCGGCGAGGGACATGCTTCGCGAACATGCCGTCAAGCATTATCGTCGCCTTGAAAAGGAGCACAAGCAGATCGTGGTTGACGAAGTCCTGCGAGGCGTCACAGAGATCAGCCATCGGCGACTTACGATCGAAACACAAAAGGAACACGCATGGTACATGATTGAACAATGCCTTTACAAATTTTTCGGCCGCGTCAGTGGCACTAGCCGGCGGGAAGGTAGTTACCCTAGCACTGTCATACCTAATCTCGTGTTAGAATTCGGTGAGTTCATGACCGAAGGTATTGGGTACCGTACCGTACATGGATACGTGCACCTCGAACGCGAAGTAGAGCCGCGTCGCTACGAATGGAAGAAGAGGATGCGCACAACACTGCCACAGGCCAAAGGCGGGTTAGAAGTTCAGGCGATGGCGGCACGAGGCCAGTATACTGAAGTGAGATCGCCCGAGGGAGTCATATTGAACTGGCCTACAGACAGGCCCATGAGAGTGCTAGGGTGGGAACGTGAACCAATACCCAGAACGCGCGCCAAGGGTGCGCCACCTGAGTCGACGGATGTGAATGCAAACCAGTGGTGGATGACTTTGGCGGATGAATTAATGAGGTAGAGGTTGAGACTGCATCAGATCTCGACTGTGATCTAGATATGTTATTTTACAGCGAAGCAAGCGCTTAATTTTATAGAACCAATAGTTCATCACAACCAAATTCATAATGAGTGTCGTCTACTCATGTCAACTTATAGACATTTCCTACATAGCGCCTTTCAAGCTGTCGTTCCATCGTGGGTATCTAAGTCTCCATGTCCATCTGCTCAGCTTGGACCCAGCCGTGGTATAACTAAAATACATAAGGGTCAATACAAGATATCCAAAACCAACCCGATCCTGCCGTTGTCCTTTCCTTTTCCCATTGTTCTGTAATCCATTCCACTTTACTGATTGTTTTGTTACATATTTCAAACACAATATCCAAACAAAGAATTTGATAGAGAAACAACAAAGAGAAGATATAAGTGATGTGGCGGAACCAGTCCGCTTGAATCATGATGCAGCCTCAGCGAGAACACTCAAAAGACTCACTGCTGCACCTCCAATTCCAACAGCGCCGAGGGCCTCTCCCCATTTCTTTCTTCCTTGAGGGCGATCTTCCCTCCTTGTACCTCTTCTATCACGGTCTCGGTCTCGGTCTCGCTCGCGGTCTCTATCTCTGTCTCTATCGCGATCATGATCACGATCTCTCTCGCGGTGATAGCGCTTGCCACCATCGTAGTAGTAATCACCATGTCTGTCACTGCGCGAGTGACGATCTCCACTATCAGAATATCTTCGTGAACGTCGGGACGACCTAGGAGGGCTCAGTCGTCGACGGTCGCGATGATCATCACGATGGTCGCGATCACGGTATCGGTCGTCTCTATAAGAACGAGAACCTCGGTTTTCTACCTCGTAAGGCTCTGGATCGAAGTGGACGTGGTTCTCGTTTTTGTTCTTTAGAATTGGTTTTGGGAGCGAAGTGCTCGACGGTGATGTCTTGCTCTTCAAAGGGGGGTTGACGATGATCGGATAGCTCTTCGTCCCTTTCTCTGAGGACTTGTCATCTTCATCATCTGTGACATCGCTTTCTTCAAAGACTCCGCTATCATCGTCGTCATCGTCCCGGCTGCTCTTTGAGTCTCTTCGCTCGGAATAGTGACCATGCCTGCGAGGTGGCGGGCCACGTCTTGAGCGCGCAGCCCGGCATGCTGCACTTTGACGAGCATACTCTTCGATCTGTTCTCGAGTCAAGATGCCCAGGACAGCAACAAAATCAGGACGGGCTTCATAACGCACACCAGCCCTTTCAAGTACTTCGGGGCTGACGCGCTCTCGCTTGATTCTGGTCCACTGCGCATCAGGTGGAATCTCATTGCCCCATCGATCTGGAGCTAGTTTAGAAGCACTACTCCGCGGGCTGCTGCCATAGGAGGGCGGACCACTGTTCAAATGATGAGGCATAGGAGGCATGGAGCGTGGCGATGCTCCATAGTGATGAGCAGTGGGGGAACTGGACATTTCTGGAGCCGCTGACAGACTGTTCGGAGGAAGATGCCTCGGTCCAGGGGCCAGATTGTACTGGTCGTTGGGCTGGATATTCAAACTTTCCATTCGAGAGTTGAGTTTATCCATAGCAAGGAGGTCCTGGGTTGAGACAAGTGCCATGGAGTAGTCGGATTCACTGTCACCGTCCTTGGGTGATGATGACATAGCGTCCCTATGAGAGTCGTTATTTGATCTTCGTCTGCCACCAGTAACGATAACCGGCGGATACTTGTCGTAAGGGCTATTCTCGTCTCGTGTTGGCGAAGAGGGCTGAGATCGGGCTTCTTGCTCTAGAAGACCTCGAACGGTAGGGTAGTTCCCACCATTCTGATTCTGAACAGACTCGAGCTCGCGAATGTATGCTCGTAGAACATCCTGACGTTGTATTAGCCGTAACGATCTACAAAACAGTTATTGATCATACCTTGTGTTTGCGTAGCACTTGGGGAGAAAATCCTCGGTCCTCGAGCTCAATCTTAAATTCGCGCCACAACCCATCTTCATCTTCGGTAAAGCTACCTTCGTTGCGATCTCGGAACAGTTTAGTGGCGATTTCGTCAACCACATCCTTGATTCTTTCGAGGCCCTCTTGGCCTTCGACAACTCTAGTGGGTCTGTTCTTGTCATGCAGCTGTACGGCTCTCAAAAACATGTCAACGCTGTACTCGTCATTGTCAAGTTTTTGCTTCATGGTGAGCAGCTTTTTGTCGCGCGCACGTTCGTCTTCAGCCATGATAGCGCGACCATCTCCATAACTGTTCAGAAGTGTCTCGAGTTCAGTAAGTGTGAAATCGCAGTCTTCGACGAGGGGGTAGAGTTTTCGAGTGTAAACCGATGTTGATGGGCTGTTGTTCAAAAGTGAGTCCTGGTCGGCAGCTTCTATACTCAGATATCGTAGGGCTCGATGAAGGTTGCGAACGGCATCAGCGACAGCAGAAAATGGAAGTCCTGACTGTTTGGCGCGGAGGTAAAGATTTCGAGCAAGTGCACCGACAGCGTCGATGTGTTGGAGGGTTGAGCCGCCGCTCATGGCTCGTGATTTTGGCTCAGAAGAGCTTCAATACTAGTGCTAAGCTTGATGTATAAATTGCTTTGGTATAGTCTGCAGGAGGTTGATATATGGAAGCGGTCGTTCCCATATAAATGTTCGATTATACCAAGGTCGGTTATGGCGGTATACAGTTGTTCGCTAAACCGGAATTTGGGGTATAACTTGGAAATTATAAATATTGGTTGCCAAGTAGAGAGGCAGTAGATAAATATTCAAGGTTGAGATATGATACAAGGAAGCAGAGAGTGGCAGGAAAAGTGGAAGGGTTGGGCGGGTAGTCTAGAAGGGAGCGATCGGATTATCAGGTCCAGTCAAAGGTTGGGATGGAAGGCACGCGGAAGAGGCAGAGGAAAGAGCACCCGTGAGTTGGCCCGGTCTATGGATATGGAATGAGATGGATGGAAGGAAGTGGGTGTGTAAATTTTAGTACAACATGTTTGGTAAGAACTGGAAGGCAGGTACTAGAGGTACTGTACTTCCTCCATGTGCAGGGCATGTGGTTGAACTGTTCCGGGCAATAGATGGAGGGTGACCATCCTCTATTGCTCACGCTTATATCAGAGTGTACAGGTACAGAGTTACAGTACATGACATTTTGCGGACGACTCCTTGCTTCAGTATGTCACTCGACACATCTACTCGTGTGATGATGATTTCACTTTCTTTGCTTCAGAGTCACCCCTGCCTCTAGGAGAAATTAATCAATGAACATCACACTGAAAAGTCTAGGGTTCTTCTGTATCTGTACTGTACCGAACCTATTTCCGGGGACTCATTAGGTAGTGGGGAAACGTTCCATCCCTGTCTTTGTCTTGGGTCCTGGGTCTAGTGACGTAGGTAGCCGCTGTCCACTAGCAGCCTTACATCATCGCTTGTGCCTCTACAAGGCTGGACATGCCTGGGTTGGGGAGATCTTTCAGGGTTCGCAACTGGAATTTGATACTTGCTGCAATAGCTCATGATCACCCTCTTTGGCTTTGGCTCTCCCTTCTCTTCAATTCCTGTCGTTTGGTCTGTATTAATTGGTACTCTCGTACAGTAATACGAAAGAAACCGTTGCCTTCTGGCGTATTCCAATTTTGCCTCTAAGTGACTCGCTGCGCCACCCGCTCGGCAACGGGGCGTTGCGTGGGGCATTCTCTAATTTAGCGGCATCAAGAGAGAGAGAAAAAGTCAAGATGACGCCTTTAGTCTAATCCAGGGACAAACGGTTCCAGGGTCCATTATCCGGAGAGAAAGTAAATCAAAGTGTTTCAGCTTTTGTCGACTCCTGTCTATCATTTCATCACCATCTGCCAGATTAAGGCACAGGTACAGACACAGTACAGTACAGTACAGTACTTCATAGCATCATGACTTGATTGCGTTGCTCATTCACAGATCGAGAGAACCAGCCTCTTGGAAAGGGAACAAAACAATTACTGTACTCGACATCATCGTTTGTCTTGTCTCCTCTTCTCTCCCCTCGTACTCGGCCTCGGGCTCTCTTAGGCAGTCTTGGCTTGGCTCGGCTCGCTTCCATCACTCACGGATACTGGTGCTCCATTTGTCATCCTCTCTCCGTCTTCTAGAACACCAGTAAACTTTCGCAATGCACTCCCCATTCGCCTCTAGTCTCGTTCCCGTGAGAACTTCGTCTGTCTTTCTAAAAGCATAGACAGTACCTCCTCGCTCTTAAATGTACTGTACACCTCCATCCATACCTACCGAGCAACCCGAAACCGATCTGCAATGCAGGGCTTCTGCGCTGTCACGGTCACTTCTCTGTCTCCATTCTTGTTCTATGTCATGTACAGCATACTTGCTTGCATTGCTTCCAGTATGTATGCCTTTCCTCTTCTTCTCCACTGCACTTGAACCCATCCTCGGCTCACTGCAGCCTTCACCTCTTCAAAGGAACCAAGCCTCATTGTTTGTCTGGAAGCTCGGCTCCGTGCATTAGCTACCACGACTTGCACGCCGGTAAGTCTTCCGCGACAGCTTTGACCATCAAACAGGCTGTGCTCGTAAATGGTCTTGGAGAAACCATCTCGACTTCGTAGCGTGCTGTTGCCTATGATAATCCCCATCAATTCTGACGCTGATCCAATGTCATACTTTTTGTTCTTCTATCGAGGCTCTGCCATCGACTGTCATGTACTTTTGACATTTGATAAGACGCAGTGACTCACCATGCAAGATCGATACGTCACTCTCCGATGAGCCTAGAGCATGCAACTATTGATCAACTACCACGTCTGTATTGTGGTTACTACTATATGATGCACGTAACCGCAGTACATGTACATACCTGATCAGTGGGCTGGTTGCCTTCTCATCACGGCATCTTGACCTCTCGGTGTACCATGATAGGTTGTCTCGTTGCGTGGTCCGTCGCAATGTTCCGAGACCATCAAATGCTTTCAACTGTCGGTGTTCAGAATCTGCGGGTGCCTTATGGGAAAGCGAATTATCATCGCATTGTATGTCACGCAGTAACCGATTGCTTGCAGTATTGGTTGCACACCTATTTGTGACGCCGACATTGGACCCTCCAATCTTTTAAAACGCCTCTTTTTATTTTCTTCTAACTCTAACATAACATTGATGGATTGACAAATGCAGCTAACAACTCCTCCATACTGAGCTGGCATTATCGCTGTAAACAAGAGACATCCTATACTAAATGCTCATCAACATGTGATTCTAATTAACACTCCCACACACACCCTCTGCTCTCACTCTCTGACATGCGCCGTGTGTAGCCGATCTCTCTCGCCTTTGATACCGCCCCGCGTCCTTTGAAGCTTTACCACCGTCGCTGGGCGTAAGTTCGCCTCGCATCTTCCAATCCCTATCGGATGCCAAGCCCAACGGCTAGTCTCGTTGGTGTTGGATTGAATACCACGACTTTCAGCCGCATGACGTGTGGTGCCGCAGGCCGGCAACGTGCTTACAGGTGAAAGCCTGAGTAGCGTAAATCTTTTGGTTGTCTTGTGAGAAAACTCCCTGTTCTTCGAGCTTTAGATTGCCAGCTTCTCTAGCGAGTATTCCTCCACCTTCTGACTGATCAGGTGGCCTGTCTCTCGCGTGCTGCGCTGCACCACCTCTCCACCCGACACCACCTTGTTCTTGCTAGGCAGTTGCTTCGTCTTGAAACCGAGAGGAAGCAGTCGAGACTCCTTGCCCTCCAGCTTCATGGAAACTGGCGCGTTTGTGTTCCGTACTGGCCGTCCAGCACCGCTCTTCTGCACAGCTTGTCCGTATCGGAGTGTCTCGCTAACCCAGCTGTTAAGAATTACAGCCTCCTCGAGACCTTCGAGGGCGACCCTCACTTCGTTTCTCAGCCCTGTCAGTAGGTCGCCGGTCTCGGACTTGTCACTCAAGATCGCATCGTTCAACAGCCATCCTCCGGCGCCAATAGCGTCGACGCACCGACTGATTAGGTCTGTAAGTAGAGCGATCACACCATCCGGAGGCGGGTCGCCGCCTTCGGTATCAAAGGTTGTCGTATCGAGATACTTGGTTACCCATGCTCCACGGCAAAGCTCAATTCGGAGTGTGTGGATTAAAGAGAGGATCTCCTCTGTCTTGAGCGTAGCTCGCATTGCCTTGACTGTATTCACTGCCGGCAGACGCCAGAGTTTAGCGAAGGCCAACGTGAGTCCTCGCCCACGGCTACTGCTGTCGTCTCCAAGGTAGTACTCGGTGATGGCAAGATCCCTCTCAAGATCGTCGAGGTCCATATCGTAATTTTCAGCCCCATCATGTGCCTCACTCTGTAAAAGCTTGGTAGTAGCCGCCTTCTTGGAATCAGGAATGGCGCCAAGGTTGAGCATCAGAGCTCGGATGGCAAGGAGTAGCTCCAACTCGCCGAGTGGTGTAGCCTGGAGATAGTTCAACACCAACGTCATTGATGGATCAGCATCGGTCAAGCTTGTTAGGAGGTCCTCGACAATGGCTTTACTGTCAAGAGCTCCTACATCGAACTCGTCCTTGAAAGCAGCCTTCAAGTTGGAGAGGGTCAGGTGTCCAGCAACAACAAGGTAAGACGTAACATTTGTGTCGGGTAGGATGAGCTGCAGCTTGGGTCGTGCTTCCGCAGCTTCAGTCATAGACATGGAAAATGTTCGCCCAATAGCATACAGAACCCAACGCCGGTCAACAACGGCATATGACGATCCTCCTGTCAGCCAGTCCCACTCAGGAAGTTCTTGGGAGTCCTTGTCGTCGTTGCTTTCGGCGGCCCGTCGCAAGCCCACATGGAAACGGCTACGGAGCAACTGCTCCCATTCACCAAGATCGCCCTTGGAAAGATGTCCGTCGGCTACCTCCAGCTCTTTGCGGAGCTTGGCCATATACTTCTCCGTCATCGAGCCAGGAACGTACTTGGAGAATTCTGCTGCAAGCTTATCCGATTTGATCCTCTTAGCAGGAATCTCAGTGGCAGCTCCACGACCAATAGAGTCGATCAGAAGACCCTGCTTGCGTCGCTTGCCGTGGCTCCTAGGAGGTTCGATCTGGATTGATACAAGAACGTTATCTACCAGAGCAACAACCAATTCCTGGCTTCTCAAATAACTGATCAAATGGCATGATTGGGGCTTCTCGCCCTCAGGGAAAACTTCCGACAGATCAAGGGGTGCATTGGCATGAACCGAACGATACTGGTGATTGTAAAGGCCGATAGACTCGAGTGAGCATGATAGGACGAATGGTCGGGACAGGCGAGCGAAAGAGGTTGCATTGTCCATTTGGACGACCGACTTAAGCTTCGGGACAGGTGTAGTCAGGTCGTAAATGCTGAGAGACCCTTCCTGCAGCTGCAAGAGCAATGCGGCCTGCACATCGACCTGGTACGTGGATTTATTAGTGCCACGAGGGGATGGGGCACCGACCGGAGCAATTTCGAGAGGCGACAGCTTCTGAATGTCCGAGGGAGTTGAGGAAGCGCTCGAGGCTACAGCGACAATGACTGAGTGCCGGCTCTCCTGTCCTTGGCTCAGGGTTTTCGACACAAGCGCAACCAGCTCTGGCTCGAAATTGGGGGTCTTGGGCAGCGCACTGAAAATCTCGGGCTTATCCTTGAAGATTCCTTCGCGGAACTCGGCGAGTGTACCTGAGGTGATGTAGTCCACTTCGAAGCTTTCGATCTGGGTCGCGACAGCGTCTTGCACGGCTGTTTTCGATGACGAAGTCCACTGGATCGCAAGGGTCTCGGAGGAGAGTGAAACGAACTCTCCATTCTGGCAAACGGCGATCACGTCGCCAACACTTGCAGTCTCGGATACACTAGAAGCGCAAGTAATGTACCGAACAGATGAAGTCTTGAGAGTGGGAGAGGCAGTCGTGGTAGAAATTGTCTTGCCATCGTGTTGTACAACGTCCTTGAAGAGTGTGATCTTTTGGCCGGTAGAGTCGCGAGTTGAGATGTATGTGTATCGAGAAACATCGTTGTTGCCTGATCGTCGGATTCTAACAGAGTAAGGAGCGCAAGTAAATGATTCTTGAGGTGGGATAGGATACGAGGTGATCAAGTTGGAAGCTGGAACCTGTAGATTGTTAGTGATATTTGAGATGGCTCTCAATAGCAAAACGTACGTCGTAAATACTGGCAGTCTCTCCATCTACACCAACAACCAATTCTGTCCTCTTTCTCTTCTTCTGGCCATCGCGCAAACCGTAGACTTCTCGGGCAACGATGCGACCTTCAGTATGGTCCAAAGGACGAGGAAGAGTCGCCAGCACAAAAGGCTTATGTATTCTGTACTCGGAAGCCATGGCGACTGCGGTACTGTGTTTCTGGATTATAACACAGACTCCAAAGAAATCGTTTCCGTAAGTCGAATATTTCGACCTGCAATTTTCCTTTGGCGATCGATAAGTAAAGCTTCACAAAAAAAAAAGTTGGAGCGGACCGAAACAAATTCCGGTGGTGGGGCCAGGAAGTGTCTTGGACCCACCAGGACCTGCCCCCCGACCAGATGCACTGAACCTAATCCCTGACGTAGAGCAAAGGCACGTACTTTAGCGCGTGAAGACGCGTTCAGTGGTCACCACTTTAACGCGAACCCATGGCCAACCTCTTTAAACGTCTAATATCCACGGGCAACGCTTTCGGTTCCCTTTTACCAAGACAAGTACACTTCATGTTGGAGTCTTTCGTTTTCTGTTTCTATAATTCCCTTGTATCATCCTTGCTCTCCTCTTTTTAACCAACTCTCACTTTGAGAATTGTATTCGTGAAATGGTGGCTTGACTCTCAGCTTAAGGTACATAAACCCTTAACGTTCCATGACCGTTAGCTTTGCATGCTTACAGATACGCTTGCAGTCTTTCACGCATCAATGGGATCCATCTTGGTCGAAAGGATGGCCCAAGAAGGCATTAGAGGGCCAGAGGTAAAGAAGGTTCATCCTTTCTTCACTAAAGGCCCTGCCTCCGAAATAGTTATCTCCGATTCCTCTACGAGCAATGGAACTCCCCACGACGACACCGAGCCAGCTTTGGAAGGACAGAACGGAAGGAAACGAAGGAAGACCGAAGCAACTCTCCCCCAGGATGAGTCTGGACCGAAGAAACAACGGCGGACACGCCAGAGCCAAGGACACGCAACTTCTGGCAACGCGACAATCGAGCAGAGCCTTGGCCTGAAGCCCATTGGCTCTGTTGCTGGTGGTACTTCGACTCCCTCGACAAACGACTCCCTCGCCAACTCTATCGAAAGTGATACGGATTCGATTACCGCTAAACCTTCGAGCCTCCCCAATACCGATACCAACACCAATACAGCAAAGATTATGAGATTGAACCTGAGGACTGGAACATTGAGGTCTCCACCTAGGACCAGACCAAAATATGCACCTTCCCGGATAGTGTGCTTAAAATACGGACATGACGATGCCAGTCGCAAAGAGCTGGGCGACAAGATCTCCCAAATCATGGATGGCAAGATCTTATTCCCTCCAACCCCGCCGAAGAAACGAGGAAAGAAGTCGAAGGAAACCACTACCACCCAGGATGCTTCAAAGACTAAGACCACACATCCGCTCTTTATGGGAAAGGCAAAACAGGTTATGAGGGTGGAGGAAGCTGCTGTCGAGAAACGCTCGCCTGCGACGCGTCAAGTAGTCTCAATGTCTACGCCAATGTCTCCGAAAAAGGCACGAAATCCCTTCGCAGTGAACAAACAGACACCGCGGTTTGGCGCCAGAACAGGCGTCATGAAAGTCCCTGGTGCTATGCAGCCTCTTTGGCCTGCGAAGGGGATGGCTCACGTTCGCGGTTTTGACGTTGAACTTGAGCCGACAGCATCGCTCTCTGACGAGCACATGAGTAAGAAGTCCAAGGGCTCTACTGTAACGGTCAATCATGAAGAGTCTGTCTTGGATCGATTTTGCTCCAGCATAGACTTTACAGCTATTTGTGATTCGCTTCCCAGGAATGATGACCGTTTTGAACCAGTGCCCGAGGAGCTGCGCAAACCTTCCCGACACTTCGAAAGTGGTCGAAAACTCCAGCGACGCATCCGCTCGGAATTACGAACATTACGGCATGCTGATGCCCAGGAAGACGATGATCCAGCTGACAATATCACTGTGCATCCAAGAAACACACACCCTGCAATTCACCGTCTACATCAATCACTTGAGACAAATCTCTCCGCATACGACCGATCAACATGCGAATCATTAGCTTGGACGCACAAATACGCTCCGACCACGGCATCGGAAATCCTACAGTGTGGCAAGGAAGCTCTTCTACTCAAAGAGTGGCTGCAGACACTCCAAGTCCAATCTGTCATTTCGGCAGGCCAAGATAATCCTACGGCCAAGAAAGCAAAGCCCAAGGCAGCCCCGAAAAAGAAGAGGAAGAAGGATGACTTGGATGACTTTATCGTCAGTAGCGAAGAGGAGGCAAATGAAATGGGAGAGGTCTCTGAAAATGAGGATGATTGGGCACCCGCGGGCTCAGGTCTGCTGAAGAAGACAGTTATTCGGAATGGTGACATGACAAAGGGAGTCAAAGACCAAGAACGCCTGACAAATGCCGTCGTTATCAGTGGTCCTCATGGAAGTGGTAAGACATCAACTGTTTACGCTATTGCCAAAGAATTGGGCTTCGAGATCTTCGAAATCCACCCTGGAAGCCGGCGAAGCGGCAAAGACATTCTAGAGAAGGTTGGCGATATGACGCGCAATCATCTCGTTCAGCAACATCGCACACCGGATGGTTCTAAAACTACAGAACAGGATGAAGTGGCGCGCGACGTGAAGGCTGGAAAGCAGGGCACAATGACAAGCTTCTTCCAGAAGAAGACAGCCTCCAGACCAACGATTAAGAAGTCTAGTGAAGAAAAGCAGACAGAGACGACAAAGGCCAGTTCGACTAAGAGTCAGAAACAGTCATTAATTCTACTGGAGGAGGTGGATATTCTATACGAAGAAGATAAGCAGTTCTGGGCGACATTGATGAGCATGATGGCACAATCGAAACGACCATTCATCCTGACTTGCAATGACGAAAAGTTGGTGCCTCTCCAGACTCTCAACCTTCATGGCATTTTCCGTTTCTCGCCCCCGCCTACCGATCTTGCTGTCGACCTTTGCCTCCTCACAGCAGCTAACGAGGGTCACATTTTACGACGCACAGCGGTCGAAGCATTGTACAAGTCTCGCAAACACGATCTCAGGGCTTCGCTAACAGAGCTCAACTACTGGTGCCAAATTGGAGTTGGGGATCGCAAGGGAGGAAACGATTGGTTCTACCTGCGATGGCCTAAGGGATCTGATTTAGATGAGAACGGGGACGTGGTACGGGTGTTGAGCGAAGAGACTTATTGCAAGGGTTTGGGCTGGATCGGTCGAGATCTGATAGCTACTTGTCCCGACCCAATGAAGTCTGAGGAAGAGGCATTGAAGCAGTCATGGGACTCTTGGGCACTGGACATGGGCGACTGGGAGAACTCGTTGAACTTACATTCATGGGCAGATGATATATCTCATGCCGCCTCAAAGCAAAGCAAGAGTCTCGAGGCGCTGACGATTATGGATGAGTTCTACACTTCCATGGGCGATGCAGATTTGCTATCAAGCGGCACGCTGGGCATCGATCTTCAGGAAACGATCGATCCAGAACTGCCTGGAATTCCAGTCAAGATGCGGGATGATTTCATACTTGGGCGTCGACTTCTTGAAGCAGACCCTAAGATCTTGTATTCCTCGCCTAGCGTTGACCTTTCCTTCACTGTCAAATCCCTGGCTAGACAGACACTTCTCGATAGCTCACTGGAACTCGATACGGCCGCCACCCCTCTTCTCGAGCCGTTAACGGAGGAGCGAGTCGTCCAGTCTCTTGATCACTCGTTTGAGCCTCAGATCCGGCCCATGGATCGCATGGACCTGGCTCATGCATTCGACCCTATTGCTATAAACGAAAAGACAACATACGCCAGTTATCTTGACCCGTCAGTGTTCGACCGGACCACAACACTCATTGTTTTAGATGTAGCGCCATGGGTCCGCGGGATCGTAGAGTTTGACAGCACCCTGATGCAAGAGCGGCTCAAGTTGAGTAACATTCTAAGCGAAGGCGGCACACGAAAGAGGATGCGCACGACACGCAGTGCATACTCAGCCATGGAAGGAGGCGAGAGGAGGACAACCCGCCGTGAGAGGTATTTTGGAGATACTCTCAACGCAGTCTTTGTTAGACACACCGCTGGTGAAGGCTGGAGGGACGCTGTACAGAGTCTAGCACCACAAGAGGTAACGGAGGAAACGCCTAGCAGTGCTCCGTCATCTCCAGGGACAAGCGAGATATGATGGGTTATGTGGTATATACGGAATGCATAGTGATTTAGAAGGTTCTCATGATGAGCAGGTATACAGGACGGCAATTGGTTTTCGAGCGGAGTTTGGGTATGGTAGCATAGCATAGAACCACCATGAACGAGTGTTACAGAATACATTCATGATATATATTAACAAATCGCTTGTACATGTGCTTGTTGAAATGCCAGCGTGTTTGTAACGAAATGATAAACGCAATCGCCAGTCCGCCCAGATCCTATGCCAGTTCGCCGTCAGGTCAGATAAACCACCCCATTTTCCACTCAACATAAACAAAGATCATATCAACGTAAGTAAATCATAAATTCCTCGTCTCCATCAGTGTATCACCACTGAGGAGGATAATGAGCAGGCTGAGCAACAGTCCTTCTGCGTTCGGCAGGATAGAAAGGCTGCTCCTGAACATAATAGTCATCAGGAGGATACGGAAACCGTTCAGTATGATGTCGTATTCTTACATGCTCCTGTGGCATTCTCTCATAACCTTGAGGCCGTCTGCGGCTGACCTCTTCTTGATAGACAACATCACCATGCCGTCTTGTAGTGCGCTCATACACACGCTCAGCATTCTCAGGTGAGCGACGACGACGTGTTGGTTTCCTGTCATGCTTGGCAGAAGAATGCTCCCAGTCTTCATGATCACCGTGCAGAACTCCCTTTGGCCAGACCTTATGGGCTATCACGGTAGCAACGCCAATTCCTGCTAGCAGACCAGCGGTCGTTTTGAAAAGACCATGATGATGGTGATGGTCATCGCTACGCTTCTTGCGGCGAGATGGCGAGTGTGAACTTGAGCGTGAAGAGGACCGTCCCCGAGATTTCGAACGTGAGACTGGTCGTGAAGGAGGTTTGCTACCTCGAGGTCGACCGCGAGAAGGCGAAGGTGTTCGAGTTCTAGATGATGGCGTAGGAATTGGTGAAGGACTTGGCGATGGTCTCCGATTGATAGAACTGCGCCTCTCGAACGAGCCAGAGCGCTGCATCTTGGCCAAGACTCGCTAGTGTATCGAAAGAAGTGCAATTACAACTCTGCTGAAGTTTCGAGTGTTTGATTATATGGGATTCAATTTGTGGCCCAACTCTTTCTCTTTTTAATGCCCGATTGGGTTTCGTTTTCAGGTCTTCGGCAATCTGAGGCCAAAGTGGAGGGAAAATATTTCGTTGAACAAGGACCAGGACTGTAAAGAATGAGTCCTCGGCCAGGGCGATTTCTCACGAGGAATTCGAATGGCCAGACCCACGAATTAGTTAAAAAAAACCAACTATCTGTTCTGGCAGACAGACACTTTTGCAGGCAAGATAATGAACTTGACTAAGAACAGGGATGTCCTAGTTGAAAGGTATGACGTAGGAAGTAAACGGGAACACCGCGGAGATATCACAATGAGGAAGATTTGGTGTTGAGAACAGATTATGAATTCACTCAGACTTGACGTCTAAGGAACTGCGGTTGGGAAGAATATGTTGGGAACAACGAGCGGTTTATGAATACGGGTTCAGTCAGTCAGTGGCTTGGACAAGTCTGTGTATGTAGATCTCTCAGACTCAACGTTGCTCCTAACTTAGAAACCGCTTAAGTTAGTTAACTTATGCGGGGAGAATACGGGGAGCCAAATCAAGTCCTGATTGTCCCTCTAATATAGAATACGCATGTAACCTTTAGACTTCCGGAACTCATCTCCTCTGTTCCAACAGGATGAGAAGGATTTCATACGGTTAATTCGGAAGCAAAGAGGCCTCTTCTCTGTATCTATCCGTCCAAGCCTCAACATTAACGTACAGAATCTGTGTACATAAAGAAGACCCTGGTAGGCCCAGACCCAGATCCAGTACCAGAACCCAGACCCTGGCCTGTATCAAGACGTCACACACCAGGTTTCCACTAAATGCAGTTCATGCCGAAGACCCGACCTTGAGGGAAAAAATACAGGAACGTGAAACTGGATACTCTGTGGCATTCGTCCCATCTTGTGATTTGTTAGTCTTCAAGACGATGCTATTGGGGGTACAGACACAAGTACAGGGACAAGGACAAGTAACTAATTAGACGGTAATATGCAGATTGATGAGTTGGCAGTAATAAACACAATACATACAACGCAATACACTTACTCTACCTTATTGCAAATGTCTTATAGTATATATCATTTCAGTATGTCTCTGTGTGAGCCTGTTGTAAGGCGGACATGTAACACGTGCTACGGGTTCCTACATCTCATCAAGACATGCATCGCCCAGTTTCTCCATCTCTTAAATATCGTTTGAGATGGGTTATATAGAGCACCGGAACAAACCACCCTGAGTTTTGATTTACTTGATCACCTCCTGCGAGACAGCCATGTTGAGACTTGTGCCACTAACAGATAGCTTCACAGGCACCAATGCCCAATTCAGGCCTGCGATCATTTGGATACATCGTACGGAATAGAACATCCCACTTGTATCGCAATACATCGCAGGGCAGTCTTCGCTCGCCTTTCGAGACACTGACATTCGACCATCAATAACAAAGGTTGTCTTTCGAAGACCAAGCCAGATCGTGCGAACACATAGAGCTATCCGAGTGATACCAGGCTAGGAAAGGCCTGGACTCATTACCTTTGCTATATCACTCGTCGATAAATCAGGCTTGCTCTGAACTCGAAAGGTGTCGACGAGCTGGCTTCTAGGGTTTTCCTTGTGTAGAAACGACTCAAGGTACATTCTTGTCTTGCTTTGGGCACAGCCAATAGGTATCGTGGTTGACCGTATGTTCAGGTTCATGTCCGGCAGTGCTTTTGTCTTGTCACGGGAGATATTCATAGGATAACTTCGACATATCCAGTGCTCGCTTGTACGCGACACTTATCGCCTCGGGGCAATATGATATGCTTTTTGGGGGTCGGGTCACGGTTGGCGGGTTCTCCATCCTATGACAGCTGATGAAGATATTCCCATTGTCACTTCAGAAGCCCAGCCTCAGGGCGCTTGCAGAAGCTGTTCGTGATGCCCATTCGAACATGATTTGGTATTGAAGACAGTAAACAATGAAGCGACGCAGCTCGCCACTGGCCTCAACTGCTCATCCGTGGATATATCTACTGGAGCGGGTTTATAGTATCGTATCTGGGTCGAAGCGATAGACTGCAGTGTCGCCCGAGTGACAACGTTTGCTGTGATGTGAGCAGATAGATTAGCAGGCGTTTCGGCTGAATTCAACGTGTGAGTTTGTAGGCGTAATTTTCAACTCAAACCACTAAACGGACGGTCAATTTGCAGATATACACAGGTTACCTCACATATAACATCACGAGTGTCTGGTTCTTCAGGTAATACTCATGTAGCCTGCGTCCACTTCATATTCATCCGCGAATATCTGCACCAAAGTTCCGTCTGGGCATGTAGACATAGGTGCACTATGATGTGGAAGTCGTCAACGAGAGGCAGCCGGCGAGCTTTTACACGATCGCAACCCCAGGCTGCAGCGGCCGGGTGACGGCTCTTCCATTCGCTATGCCTTGGGACCAGGCTTCAGGGTATACATTTGTCAGTACCTTTGTGCTGACAGAATCATCCAATGGTCACCCCAATGAACAAGGAAGATTTCAATCTGGAATAAGGGATGGTGGCTCAAACAACCGCAACGGTGACATCCTCTCTCCTTTCGTCGCATACATATGCATGAGGGGCATACGCAATCCGGCGTCTATTGAAGTCAAAAGCTGTCAAAGCCTCGGCAAGCCACTTGGCTTAGTCAAGGACCATATGCAGTCAGATAATCCCATGATCCGAGCCAAGGCGAACCGAGACAAGTACACAAAGCAAAAGAAGATAACGAAACACAACCGTATCGGTTGCGTGGTTCCCAAAAGGCATGAAGTGAGTCGAAGATCGGTCGCTGACTTGGTGTTGTGAATTCTCAGACATGGATATGCACTCATCCAGCACGAGACTTGAGAGGAGTAGAGGAGTCCTGCACGACGAGCAGCAATCTTTTCGATGACGAGGTCTCATGATGAGGGGGCGGCCTGAAATGAGCACGTTCCGATATTGCGAGTCGTGCGTTGCATGCATCTGTTGTTTTAGAAACATAGGCACACGAGACAACAAAGATAATCCTGCATCCGCATCAGCATTAACCCTGACCTGACCTGACCTGACCTGGCTAAGTTAAGCCCAAGCTCAAGCCTGATCTCAGTTCAGCTCGGGACGAGACAGTACTACTGAATGTGAAGACAGGGTGCGCCCCACAGACAGAGCAGAGCAAATCAAAAGTCCAGGATTCGTACTGTAGAGAAAAGAGCATAGGTAGTGAATTATAGCACCGTCTGCCCCCCAACGAAACATGATTCAAGGGGGGGCGTAAAACCAAGACGTGATCAGATCAGAATAGATCAGCGACAAAGGGAGGTTAAAGGAAGAAAAAGGGCCCCGGATCATGGCGTCAGTCTCCCCGTCTAACGCCGGCTAAACGCGCCGCGCGTTAAGTGCTTGCATGGGCCTCCCTCCCTCCTCAGACTTCTCCTCGACTTGGATACAGAATGCAGAGTGCAGAGTGCAGACTGACTCCCTTGGGAACCTCGGTGGCTTGCCTGAACTCCGTAGAGTTAGCCAAGGCAACAGTTGCGGCCAACTGTATGTAGAAGTTTGCCAATCTCAAGTTTTGAAGAGGGGTTGACATGGCTTTAAACGCCTTTGTTCATCTAGCCAAGGGTGGCTTGGACAAGGATGACCACATGTTGGTATTCACGAGCTGTGTCGAATCTATCACTATCAAGCCGATGTCTTCGCTGATCATCACTTCGTTATTCCATCGTTGAACAGAACATGGGCCTGAAACTCAAGATGCAAAGTCATATCGAGGGGGAGGGGCATCATGACCAGTTGAACTCCAAAACTTTGTGTCTTCCGATTGGGTCACAAATGAGATGGCCAGGGTTATCTGACAACCATGTTACCTACCCTGTGGTAGCGAGCATGATATTCGTCGGTTCTTAACCGCCAAAGCTGATACTGATGCATGTTTCTACATCGTTCCAGCTACGATAAAGCTGCCAGTTCACTCTTTCTAGCAAACCCCCCCATAATATTGTTTAAACCAACCCCCATCGTCAAAATCATGCAAAGGGCGAGAGCCAAGCTACGAGGCTGATAATGTTTCAATGCTAATAAGAAAGTTCAAATCGCCAGATCACGATGGACGCCGTGCCGATTGAAATGAGTGTCAACATGAAGAGGCCATGGATCACCAACAGGCTTCCGATATCGCCACCCGGTGATGGCAAATGCGTTGTTGTAAATTTGTGATTTTGTCCCATACATAGCAGTGATCCGAGTATTCAAACGGACAACGCCAAGACGGCGCAGAAGGAAGCGTCCGAGCCAGATCAGTGCCGTTTTTGACCACCAAGAGATTGATGTCAATCAATAGTGAAGCAGGGACGAGCCACCCTGGACATTTTATCTCGGTCATGTACGTAGGATGGCACGACGACTTACAGCCCATCAGAGGACAACTGATGGGGGCTGTAAGCGTGGGATTTCGCCCAGGCCTGGACATCCCTGCATCACAAATTCCTCACACTTGAATCAGTATCGCGCATGTCCAAGGGCGTGGGCGCCGAGTGGGTGAGTGATATGGGCTACATGGCCTGAGAGCATGTAGATTGCTATCAAAGGTAAAGTGTCAAGTGGATCAGACTTGTCTCTCCACGCTGAACCCAAAGCTCGCATCACGGAACACGATGCTGGTATTAGCTTGGCCTCGTTATTCGGCTGAACAAGGGGTCAAGAGAAACCCTGTTCTTACGAATTCCGAGTCACTTGTTGATCCATTGGAAGAGCATCATCTTTATTTCGTTAGGAGGTGTGATGATCCCTCCATGCCATGTTAGCTATGTTGATATAGGTAAACCTCCGGACCGGTGTCCATTCAAGCATCGGGTGTTTTGTAAAATGCTTCTCCGCCCCAAACAGCTGCAATCTGCCTCGAGTGGCTTTGATT